AATAAAAAAAAAATTCAAGTGGCCGAATACTTTTTTGACTGACTGTATTCAGAAATAAATCGATAGCTAATTTGATGAACAGTACACTGTCCAAATCTCCAACACCACCATCCACTATTGGCTGCATATTTAATAAAACATCTAACAGCGTGTGAACCTGTTTCGCATTATTTAATTTCACACACATTTATAGCGCGACCTGTTGTGATTTTTCCTCATGTATGCATTCACATGGACCTACATATGACTTTTAACGATAACGTGTGTTCAACAAGTTTAGTTGAAACATACGTGCGTATTATATACTAATAAGAGCTGACGATCGCACGAGATTTAATACACTTCTCTTATTTGGTAGTGTTAGTTGAAATCTCATGCGTCAAAATGCGTCAGAGTTTTCTGTTTCGAACTTACCGTTTCGATATTTCCGTACGTTGGATTCATTCAAAAACTGATTGTGTAGCAAAACAGATGTTTAAGTTAGAGTTGCTTCACTTTCGATCACGCACCGTAATGATCAAGTGAATGTTACGGGAATCGATACAATATGATTATTTGTCAGTTAGCTAGATGATATTCAAATTTGTAATGTGCTATAAAAAAAATTGTTTCAATCTATACTTTTGCATCATGAGACTTTGAAGAAAAAATATAACTGCAGCAAACACCCGAATGGACGAAAGACGAAAGATTTCAATGAAATTATTACTTATATAAAGTGAATGATATGTGATAAAATTCTTTTCTTATATGTTATATAAATAAATATGAAAAAATATTTATTATTTACCTAAAGAAACCAACGCCCAACTTGGAAAATAAAATATTCAACATATTTTCTGCATAAGCAAATATTTTACGAGTTCAGAATGATACGAAGATTTGATAAATCATTGTGAACCAATTCGAACGAATTGAATATTTCTAATGAGTAAAATCAATATTTATGTTTCAAATATTTTACATAAGTCGTATTACTACAATTGTGATATCATTTTGCATAAAGTGAATAACGTCGAAAAGTTTTATATTAAAATTTCTGTGCGATCACAAAGGAACTGAGAATTCAATCGAAAATGCGTGATTTATTCAAATTGTTCGATCGACGTTATAGCGCCGTTAATATTAGTGATGCAAGTCCGCAGCCAAATGCAAATAACAACAATATGGCCGAGGAAAATTTGCAATATTTACAACAGATTGACTTCAATCATCGACAACGAAAAAAAAGTTTACAAGCTAGTCGATCATTAAAACAGGGATTTACGATTGTTGATTCGTTCTTCAGCCAACGCAAAGGTGGAAAACGTTATCCAAAATGTAAGCCTTCTCAATATAATTAGCCTACAAGTTGAAGTTAAAGTTTAAATGTTATAAGGATGGTTATTGGTCGGATTTGGATAAGGTTCAAAACCACATTGAATAACTTATGTGATTCGTGTATGTGTGTTCAAGTTTTTTCTTTAAATTTAAATATCAAGAGATTAGTTTTTTTTCTGCAGAAAATAAATTTTCGTAAATAAATGATGTATGTCCATGTCATGGCATTATTAACGAAAAAAACATTTTCAATTGCTTTAAAACATGGAAAAACTTTTTGTTGGAATCATAAAAAACATTTTGCAACGTTTCTCATTGTGATGTATTGAATCCGAATTGGTTCATTAAATGAGAAATAATTGTAAAAACGCAATAATGGCCCAAATTTACAGCAGCGCAGATGCTGTTTCTACTGCAACGTATATCTGCTTTCTTAAAATCACATAACACTCAACTCACTGTAATTGAGCAACAAAATATTTATTGTACCAACACTAGTAACCATGGTTAACCAAACCCAAATTGATCAGATTTTTACAAAACTCAGTAAGTCACTTTCGCGTTCGAATTTGGTATGCGGTTTCTGTAAATCTTTTACATATACGAACCAATATTGCTAGATGCCAATGATCCATACGTATTGCAACCCAATCTTCGAATTGTAAAAAAGGCGGTCATCAAAATTGAAAGAAAAAACCGTGTGCTTTTAAGTTACTGACCGTTTATTAATTATCCAAGTTACATAACATGTTTTGTATCATGTTTATTTCTCCTCTTTTTTCTCTTTCAATGAAATGGACAGCCAAGTTTAACATCTAAATTAGATAACTGTCCAAACAATGACCATTGAATATGCGCATAGATAGTCGCAATTGTATAGCAAATGTGAGCAGGTAACGTTAAGATGGGCCATACAAAAACCAGATTTTTTTTTTCGAGTGGGCAATAAAAGAGCTGCTTTTCACTATTTATATGCATTTCATTTATTTGGTCCTCTCTGTTTCTCTTTGACGCAGACGCTCAATTTGTAACAGTGCATTCGCTGATTTCTCATTTTTTCATGGTTTTTTAGGTCAAAGTCAAATGTTTTCTTCCAAACCTAATTTTAAAGATAAAAGATATACATACATACAAACAAATATATGCTTTTATTTCTTTTGACTGATTGAAATGAATTTAGTTTTCGAATCCAAATTTTATGTTAAATAAACTTAAACCTACGTAGTTATAGTTTTTAAAATCACTTTAATTAAATTTATGGGAAACACATTTTAGATGATGTGTTCATTTGTGCTCACTGCTCATACGCCAAAAATTATTTGTTAATCAAAGCATTAACCCCTGAGCATGTATAAGACTTACAAAGTATTGATGGGAAAAATGGAAATTTCTTCAAATTTATTCAGGAATTATAATATTTGTAACAATCTTCGAACATTGCATTCGGAACAATGAACTTAACGTGCATGCGTTAATTACTATTTTTCTCTCGTTTTGTCTTCTTTCTTCCAATATACTATTATGTTTACAAGTTTTTATGCAAAGAGAAAATCTGAAATACAAAAGATTCACAATTGGAAGAACCAAGCGTGAGAAAAGGTGAAATTGAATTTATTTCAGTTATTATTACTCTATATTGAACTTTGAAACACTTAAGTATCTACTAGCAAAATGGAGTGAAAATGATTTTGATTTCAACAACATTATTCATAGTTTGCCTCACACGATTTCAGATTGTTGAATCTGTTGGGAACATGGATTTTCGAAGTACGACTCAAATTTTATATGAAGATTGAAAAAGTGAAAGGTTTCATCTAAAGACTTTTATCCCCGATCTAAGGAAAATGTACGAATTATGGAAATGAAATTTGTAGAATTCTGTTTTCAACACATACGCTTAAATCAATATCACATATAATACTGGACATTTAATAATAATGTGCATAATGATCTAAGCCAACTATGCAACTATTTTTTTCGTCACGTTCATTGACACATGGAAATATTTTGCTCTACTTGCTGAATTTTTTTAATATACAAACAAAAAATGACAAGTTTACAACAAGTTTTGTTTACACTTCAAAAAAAGCTTGCATTTTCTTTCTCGATTTTTCTTTAGATTGCACGTTTACCGTAATATATTCCGTAACTTTCAATTGAAAAATGTTCAACAAGGTCTTACGTATTTTTTTATGTTCAAACGAGATTGAAATGTGAAAAAAAAAGAAAATGAGAAAAATTAGACTGGCGATGTCTATTTGACCAGACTGTAGAATAAACAACTATTTATCACCTTGTTGATTCCATTGCTAACAGAAAACGACATACACTAAAATACCTTATAGTCTTTCAATAAATCGAGAAAATTCTAAACATTAATTTAAAAAATTCGATTGCAGTGATTTGAAAAGTTTCACATATAAGCTTAGCTCAGCTTAAGCAGAGATATTATATAAACTATTTTGAAATGGATTTCATTTGATCTTTCAGGTGCATTTCTACTACTGGCTGCGGGACTTTGTGCTATTGGTACATCCATCGCAATATTTCTGCTTCAGCCGTATGATGCGATTTTCAGATGGGTAAGTATCACAGAAAAAATAAAACGTTAGAAAATTCCTTTTCTTCTGTGACGATTTCACATTTTAAGCAGAATACTTTCTGTTTCTACAGAAAACTTTGCAATAGTTTGGAATATCATAACAACTAAAAATGTTGAATGATTTTTTTTCGAAAGAAATGAATGCTACGCCTTACTAAAATGAGGTTACAAAAATATCTCGAACAAGATATTGAACCGAAAATATAGATGACTTTTTAAGATTTTTTTTTGGCGAAATCTGAAAGGTGGATTTTCTGTGTAAGAATTCCGTAGAATTACGAAATATTCTTCTGAATAAAATCGATCGCAATCCCAGATCAATTATAAAGACTACACCTTTCTGTTTAGTGTGTGAAAAATGTACATTTGTTTTGGTATCATAAAAAAAATTCAAATCAATTTCGAATTTGCACTCACAAGAATTCAAAACAGAGTTTAAATGTTGAAATTATTTTCATCAGAAAATGACGTATTTTCTTTGAGTTGCTGTGCGAAGCATTGCAGCACACACATTCACAGAAATACAGACATGTACTAAGCGCAAAGAGCTCATTGCGAATGTCTCCATGAAAAAAAAGAAGTAAACCAGGTGTACAGTGTACAGCCATGTATGCGCCATGTTGGTGATGTGAGCCGAAATTTGCGTCCAATTCACACCACACACCATACACAACTGGAAGCATATATGGCCCCGTGCAAGTTGAGCGCAAACTGGTGTCAGCTGTCATAATCATCTTAACCAATAAGAATGGACGTTGCAACTACTTGCTGTAGATAGCACATAAACGAGGTATTTCAATTTCCAAAATACTTTTCAGCCTCCGATTTCTTGGTACTATTCTGGAACTTAGTTGATTCCCGCAGCATCACTATTATATTTCTTCCATTGAAGTAAAAGAAGTTTTAGCAAGGAAAAATTAAAGATTTAAGTACCCTGAAGGAAGTCTATTGGAATTCTATCTATGCCGATCTCGATTTTATTTTAAGTCATTTTACTTGTACAAGTCATTTTACACAAGTCGGGAAAATCGAGATATTTGTCGGGAATTTTAGATTTTTTTTTTCAATTTCCCGAAGAATTTTTGAACTTTCCCAACGAATTTTTTGACTATTAACTTATACCCGACTTGATCGACTTTATCGACGAATTTCTTATCAAACTCAGGTATGCCCCGATAACTGTATATGACTGTATATTATCATTACTCCCGCACTCCTCGTTTATAGCATATTCCAGACGCTGTTTTTGCCAATTTTGAGAACAGAATTTTGCGAGTGTGTAGCCTTTTTTGCCGTGGCCGTCAAAGTAGAGGTTCAGACTTGAATTTGGGTTAAATGAAATCAACTCTGAAAGAATTTGCAATGAAATGCGAACCGACTCACGGCATTCGTTTCTTGAAATATTGCTCTCAACAAACGTGGTCTGTACAATGTACATATCCAAATCTACCATTCCGATGAGACGTTTTGTAATGTTTCTCATCTCGCCAAGATATAACTTAACGACGAAATTACAGAATTACCAGCCGTTTAAAAGTTGAATTACGGCAAATTTGCATTTTTGTTCATGTTCCTACGGCCCCAACTAACAAACTCAAGCGGAATTTTAGCAAATTTTTTTTTGGAACATCGGGATGTATACCGTTTACACTAAAATGAATATTCATCGAAAAGTAATCAATTCTCTCCCATGTGAATAAGATATGATGAAATCCCACAAGAAGTCATCCGAAAATGATTCTATCTAATCAATATTTTTTTAAATTATGCCAAATATATGCTCATAGACTTATATTCTTCGAAGTATAAATCAAATTTCCTATGAAACTTTTTATGTGATATGTGTTGTTCAAATATTTTCAATTGTTGAAAAGTAAAACAGTAATTTTCGGACATGTTTTTTCGATTATACAAATTCACATGTTCAATTTAGTAATGAAGCGATAAATTTGATGTTTTGTCAAAATTTCTGATTTTCTTTAATTTTTATCAATTTCAGAAACTGATCTTCGGTGAGGGCGGTGAGATATTTTCACTATGGTAAGGATCAATTTTATACGAAATCTATCTAGATTTACTAGATTAAGAAATCTGAAATCTATCTCTTCTAAAGGAAAACTCCACCAGTTGATATCTATATCAAAATTTATTTGTGGAATATAACAAATAGTGAAGCTTTTCTTAGTGGGAATGAAAAAATGAAACTTGAGGAAGTCGGACCATACGTCTACAGGTTTGTAAACTTTTATGGTCTACCGATATTTTTCAATTGTTTCAATTGTCCATTGTGTTGATAACTATGCACCATAAATGGATCGTATACACTGGTTTCAAACATTTAATAAATAACATCTACAACATTCTTCGATTCATAGAGAGGCATTATCTCACAGTGATGTCACATTTAATAATAACGGAACTGTTTCGTCTATTCCAAAGCATCCCTTAATTTGGGATGAAGAACGATCGATGGGAAATAGAGAAGAGGACGTATTCATTCTACCGAATATTGCACTTCTGGTAAGTAGCTAACATGACATGAATGTAATATTTGGTGAAAATTTTGATAAATTTGTTATGTCAAATTTCTATAAACTTATTATCATCAACATCTGAGCAAATGATGTTCGCATTGAATTTTTCGACTACTGCGTATCAATATTGAAACAAAAATTGTGAGTGGATAATTGAATTTACGAAACAAAATTATAGAGTTGGCAACCTTGTTTTGTCAGTATGAGTTTCATTATTGATAATTCATGGATAACGCGAGAAGGTAATTAGTAATTACTAAGGTGTCTGACTTGACTAAAAACAATAAATCGCTCGAGTAATCCATTGAATGTCATGCTCATGGATTTCATTCTTATGAAATGTCACACTCTGAAGTGCAGGCCTTGACTTTCAACCATAATCACTTTCAAGTAATTTTCTTTCTAGAAATGATTTGTTGTATTTTCTATTTCTAGTCCAATCAAAAACAGTAACAACGTGTGTATAACGCACTTTAATTAAAAATCGTTTGAAAACATTAATTTTACGTTTCCAAACGAAAAGTATGTGCTTTTACCTTTTGTTTGCTTTTCTACTTAGTTGAAATGTGGACGGAATTTATGGTTTCAACAGTTCAGATGCGGAAAGTATTGATTTATTTCGTATATTCATTTCGATATCCCCAAGACAAAATATTTGTCATGCGTTTATCGTCAAAAAAATACGTTAACAGAAAAATCGTAATCAATTCCCAATTTCAATACAACATATATTATAGTACATGTGCTACATAAGTATTACGTAATTATTTAGGTAGTTGAAGAATAATGAGAATGCTTCGAAGTTCGTTTTCTTTCTTTTTTTTTCATTGGGACATATTTGTAAGTCAAAACAAGTAAACACAGGTAAACAAAAAATATGAAAACAGAAAAAATATGGTTTCTTGTATATGTTTGTACATCTGTAGACCAAACAGAGTATAATTGTTATGGTTTGTTGAACTTAAATATTATATATATTTCAATGTTCTAACATTCAATCAGTTCGTATCAAAACAGAAAATGTTAGAAATTTACAAATTAATATATTTGTGAATGATTTTTAACTTTGAAAAGTTGATGCGGATTATACATATTATCCCAAATGGATAGATCAATTGATTTTAATGAAAGATTTTGAGATCGAAATTGAAAAAGAATGCCATCCCATACTTCATGTAAAATTATTGACAACAAAAAACATTCGATCACGTGTTTGTTAAATTTTGCTTTCTATGACCCCTTTTTCTGTCATCGTGAATCGTCTCCATTTGGGAAGAATTGTCACAAATCACCAAAAAAGTAATAAACTGTTATTGAACGAACTTTGAGTTCTTTTTATGCCGTTTTATTCGTCAAATTCAAGTCATGTTTGATTGTTAAAACCTGTCCAATAAATAAATTACAACAAAATCATTTCCAAAGATGTAATTAAGTATATGGTGAGGCACATACAGAGTACTGTCGGAAAGCTTGGGCTACACAACCCTACAGATGATTCATCAATGCATAATAATTCGATACAGTATACTGAATATATTAAGTGTCACGTTAAGAGATGCAAATATTCAACGGAATATTTGCGACTGCGTGCACTTCTTTTGTGGGGAATTTCCGGTTAGTCACATGTTATTCAACACAATAGCATTCATTCCCTAATTGACTAGCTGTTATTGTGCACGTCAATGCCTAATTTAAGGAATTTCGAATTTTGACAATATTCGATTGCTTTGAAGATTGTGGCAATTGTAGAATGAAACAGACAACTCCATAAGAAAACTGGGACTATCTAGTCTAAGATTCAAGACAATAAACCGATGGCTTCATCTACCAAGTCTCCCAAATCGTAATGAATCCATCTGCAGTAATGATTACAACAACAAATCATAACTGCAGATAGATTTATTACGATTTGGAAGACTTGGTAGATGAAGCCATCGGTTTATTGTCTTGAACCTTAGACTAGATAGTCCCAGTTTTCTTATAAAGTTGTCTGTTTCATTCTACAATTGCCACAATTTTCGAAGCAATCGCATATTGTCAAAATTCGAAATTCCTTAAATTAGGCATTGGTGCACGTAAGGTGTAAACGAAGACTGTTTTTATGTTCACGAACATTTCTGCGACAAAAGTTTGGCGAACTCAAAATATACTGAACTCACTTGCTTTGAACTTGTATACTTTTGGGTTCGTTAAATTACGTTCGTTTCATTGAGAAAATGCACACTTACAACTTTTTCTTACTGTACTCAGCAGCTACTGGCTGCCAACGTTGCTAAGAGAGCAAGTGAATACGTGTGCATAGTGCAATGCTTAACATCGTCTGCTGTCGTATTTGTTGGCAAGCGTCAAGTCACCGTTCGAAGTTTTTTTGGAATAAATAACTCTGTCAGTTTAGACTGAACGTTTAATCTAGGGGAATATCACGCTCCTGAATCTTGTGAGATATTTGAGATATTTGAAATAAACATCAATTGCATGACATATTTTCGAATATTTCGAATAAATAAATCAGATTTTTGTGGATTTTGGAGATATTTGAGATTTTTTGCATTAAATCTAAATAAATACATTTAAATATCATTCATAATCACAAAAATCCAAAATATTCCGCCGTATTCACAAATATCCACCATATTTCATACGACAGATTCTCAGAGATAAATTGGATTTTTTTGAAATATTTGAAATAATTTAAGCGTGATATTCCCCTAGCGTTTAATAACTTATATAATTCTATCATCATTATTATTTATTTTTAATTCAAATTATTTACTGCAGGGATCAATATTATCGGAGGAAGATCTATTGAAGATATCTAACCAGAATACGGTTATGTTTGTTTTCATTTCAGAGTATTGCTCAAGTGGCATCGGAAAAAAATTATTTCTTACGACTACCCATTAATTTGGTAATAAGACAAACCAACAGCCAATCCATAGTAAATGTTACAGCCAGAGAATTTATGTTTGGATATGAAAGTCCCCTTACAACATTAGGCAATCAGTTCCTACCTGATTGGATATATTTCGATAAAGTGGGCCTAATTGATCGGGTAAGTTTTTACGATTTAGATATGCTAACTACACAAGAATCATATTCCTTCTGAAGATGACCCGATAAATATTAAAATTTTCCTATAGATGTATGATTTTGTTGGGGATTTCGAAACTTTCTATACTGGAGAAACAGATCCGAGCATTTCGGGCCTCTATGATACATTTATGGGTTCCAAATACTTGAAACAATGGGAAAATGAACACTGTAATAAAATCAATGGTGCTAGTGATGGAACAAAATTCAAAAGTTTCATAAAGCCAGATGAGGAGCTGTTATTCTTTAGGAAAAGTATGTGCCGACCACAAAGATTGGTAAGAATAAATAAATAAATTTTATAAATTTGGTTGGTAACTTGAATGAACCAAGTCGAATAAAATGAAATAAGATAAAATGAATTGAGAATAAGCATCTTCACTGTTAGTATACGAAAGATAAATTCCATTCAAATGTAGAATCCAGTCTTTCGCATACGTGACAAAAAAAGTAAACGATAAACAACGTAAACAAAAATATTAAGATCCCTATAGACTGCATACTCCATCGAGAAGCGGTTTTACAAACTAATTATAAAAAGAAGTTTTGTTTTTATGTTTTCGTTCAAAACCTGTGGTGACTACGTGCAGATTCACTCGAACACAAATATTTAATTTGGATTCAATACGTAGGGATGATAAAACCTACTTCTACAGATTTCGATACGACAACTTTGAATACAGAAAAAAAAACCAAATTCATTTGAATGTTTCATTAGGCCGTAGTATGTTCCAAGGAAAGTTTTAAATTCCTTTTGATTTGAAGAAAAAAACTCCTTACATAGACTTTGAAATGCAGCATATAACATATAACACACAGTCAAGGTAGAAACAAAGTTCACAATATAAGTGTGAGGTAAAATTCAAAACAAGATCTGCTGCAGTCGAATAAGAGGCTAAAATTGCTGGAATATGTATGTGGTACCGATCGAATAACCGAAAACATATAATCTTCCAGCGGACAATCGAAAATATGTGGCATTTATCACAAATACAATTTTGCGTTTTTATCTTGTTTCTTATTTTCATTGTAGTCAGACCCTCATACGTATTTTAAACGCAAATCAACCTGCCAAACTTGTTGCTCACATGAACCGAAAAATGATTCACACGGCAAATTAACCAACAAACTGGAAAAAATCGCAGCTATAAATTTACATAAATTTTGCACGTTTTGTGTTTTTATTAGCATCTCCGAAAAATTTCATGTAGGCTTTTCACAGTTATACACATAAATAAGAAAGTATACGTATGTACTATGTACATGTGGATACTGGGAGTGACAATCGTGTACCTAAGAAATCTTTTTTCTTAAACTCCTTTTCGAATTTTCAACATTTTTGTGATAAATTTCGTGCATTTCGAATTCCAAAGGTCTTTTCTTCAAATGGGTTGCTATCAAACTGTTGCCAAGTGAGAAAATGAGCTGTTTTGCAGTACGGTAACGTTATTGATTGAATTTTTATCACATGACAAACCTTACAATTATTTTGTGTCAAGAATTCCCCATTTTAATTTTTCCGTGTATCAACTACGATGTGAGTTGAGTTATAAGCGAAAAAATGCAAATGTGGGTAAAGGTCAATTTTTATGGAATCATTTATTCCGTTTGATTTAAATTTTTACGTATTCAAAAATGATATACATTTTTTTACTATATATGAACTTTGAACGTCCGCTTCTTTGAATTTTAATGTTCAATCATTATAATATTTCATCTGAATTAATGGATATGGCTTCACATCGATTCAAGTTTCAGCGAATGTTTTAAATTATCTATCTTGCTGGATAGTGGATTGATTTGTTGATCCTAGACTTGAGAGTGGAATTCGGCTACACTATATTCGTTATTTTTTTTGTCACTACAAAAAGAGGCATGAAGGCTTGAATTACATTTCGTTCAAATCAATATATTCTATGGAAGAATTACTTTTATTTTAAAACAATTTTTAACGTGTATTATACGAATGAAATGTCACTGTAGGTGCGAGTCGATAATGCTACAATTAAATCAGATCTTGAAGCATACAAATACAAGTTCGAGGCAAATGCTATGGATAATGGTTTTGTTGATGAAAGAAACAAATGCTTTTGTCGTGAAGGTATGTATAATATATGTTTATCTAATACTGTATATTTTTCGCACCAGCAAAGTGATTCATACGCGGTCATAGAATAAAATGCAAGTAGTATTTCCAACTTAGATAAAAACTGTACAATGAAGTATAAACATTATATTTCGATTATTCCTCAATAAATATTAAATAACCGGTATTGACGTCTGAAAGGTATTAATCGAAGTCTATAAAAATAAACAAATTATGCACATGTACGTATTTGCAAAGTATGCGAACAATTAAATCTTACTTTCTCATTCTTACGTGTATGAACTGAACACTATTAGCGCTTATAACAGTGTGTCGCTTGCCTTGGCCTTCACCAATATTTTTTTTCTAAACCAGAAAGGAAAATGTGTATAGACAAGTGTGTTTATTTCCACCTTTATTCTACGATATTTACAACGACTGATTTAATTGGACCGAAAAATCCACATACTTGAAAATATCTGCTTTTATTGAAATTTAAGAGTAAAATTGATGAAATAGTTTTTTTACCCTTTTCTAAATATTTTTTCGTCTTTTGATATAGGCTACTGTCTTCCAGCAGGATTACTCGACATTAGTCCATGCTATTATGGCTTTCCAATTGCTTTGAGTTATCCCCACTTCCTTGATACGGATGAAAGAGTGGGTGAACACGTAATGGGAATGAAACCCAATCGAAGTCAGCATGAAACTTATTTTTATGTACAACCGGTGAGTATTTATTACATTTTGTTCTGAATATGCATAATGTATATACATATATATCTGTTCAGGAAATCAATTAAATAATATTTGTTTGATTTTTCATTTCATGTGTTTCGTAAGTCATTATTTACAGTATGTAGTAACCAAGATGTGTAAATGGTTCGAGCTTGTTCTAGATAAACTTTCAATTGAATTTCAAACAAACCTTATCCCAACTTATTTGGGTATGATCCACTTTCAAGTGTTCTACTAACACTTCGACATTTTTTTCATTTCAGACATCTGGGATGCCCTTGGAGCTCAGTGTGAAATTTCAAATAAATATGGCTATGCGCGACGTGAGCAATATGGCTAATGTGGAGCAGTTTTCGAATATTGTCATCCCAATGCTGTGGTTTGATATTGTAAGCTATATTTTTCTAAAACCGAATTATCTGCTTTGTGATGTACTTTTCTTTAATTAAGATGTTATGTCACAACTTGAAACCATTGACTCAATCTTACATGAAGTATTTTGCAACATTTTCTTTTTTTTCAGACCCTGGAAAAACTCCCGGAGTCATTGAAGAATAGGTTCAACATTTATCTCAACATTTTGCCCGTACTCGTTGATGTTGGTCAATACGGTTTGTTTGTGGCTGGCACAATAATGTTGTTATTCGCAATAGCACGAGTTACTATGAAATTATCTAATTCAATTCAACCATCGCATAAAGTATCAAAGCAACGGAAGTATTCTAGCATTTATCCCGATATGATCCAACGTTTAGGCGATGTGGAAAAAGTATTTGAATTAAGTGAGAAATCCAAGAAGAACAGTATAAGTCGAGCAGATCTACTATATGACGCAGAATCGAGTTCAGAAAAGAAGTTCATGCTAGATGATGAACCAGCCATTTCTGAAGATGAAGGATCAGACAGCGATTCAAAATCAAATTGTGACAACGGCTCAATTGGAGTGAGTTTTAAAATTGAAATATGCCCAATTATTTGTTGGAATTAAACAATTCTGCTTCTTGTTTGTGTTTTACAGGACAATGGGCTTATGAATTTGAACTCATCAGAGCTGCATGGGTGGCGGATGGGAGCCACATCTTCCTGCATCAATGATATTGCCAATGATGATTTTGTGCCAATTTTAAATATTGAAGAGTATGCAGACGAAGAAAATGACGAAGTGGACTTAATAGCCAACGAAAATCTAACGATAGCCCAGTCATCCAACATGTTATCCGTCCCAGCAATTCGTACAAGCGTATCAGATACCAGTATATCGAACATATTAGATTTCATAGGAACCAATAGTGAAATGAAAGAAAACGCCTCCCTTTCAGTCCCACTGCGACGCCCGTCTGCTTATGAATTGAAATCTTCTGGATCTGATGTCAGTATATCATTTTTCTTAGACCGTGAACAGATCAGCGACATGTTTGATGAAAACACATTTGCAAATGTTAATACCAATGTTCTGGATGAACGAAATAGAAAAAAGTCAAACTCAAATGTCACATTCCAGTTAGATGAATAGAATTGGAAGATATATTTTTTAAAACTGCCCCATACATATTCTATGCTGTACCAGACGTGTGCAAGGTCAAAAATTCTAGGGGGGGTAAAATGATATGGGGGGGGTCTGCAAATTTATAAATGGGCGTGAAAAAAAAATGAAGACCTAAAAAAAAGGTCCTCACTTCTGAAAATCGATTATATCTAGTGTCAAATTTTCCAAATCGCTGGGGGGTCCACATTTTGGAATCCTAGATGGGGGGTAAAACCGGAATACCCCCCCCCCCCTGCACACGTGTGTGCTGTACTGAAAGAAGAATGTGCCGCGTACAGCATACGCTCTCATGGCTATGGATGTGTAAGCAAATCAAAGCTCTGCGTTATAACTAATTGTTGAATATATTATTTTTAAAATCAAAGTATTCTGTTCTGCTAATCATTTTACGTTGAAAATCTCTTCGACAACAGCAGTGGGATTAAATTAATCATTTTCATTGTTAAATCGGACCTCGTCTTTTTGCGTAAATACTATGTTGATTTATTTGTACTTTTGGAATATTTTGTGACTTTTTCAAATCAAACGTGTTGTATTCCAATGAATCGGTACCATCCCACATAGATCACCTGCGGAATAAGCTGCGACCGTTGAAAAAATTTACTTGTAAGCGAAGCAAGTATTGGGATTGTCACCCATTTACGTTTGGTACACTTCCAATTCAACTGATCACTCTATGTACGGTTCACTGCACATTGATACGTCAAAGGAAGGGTAATTGCAAAAAGAAGATAATTCGAATGAAGCGAGCACTATAGTTTATAACATATTCATCGATAAAATCAAATCGACGACAAGATATCCGTGTTCGGAAAATCCGAAGAAATACTCTATCTGATTCCTTTAAAACATGATAAGGAAATCAAAATTCCTTCGATTCTTAAATACATTCATTTCTATGTGGTACCAAAACCATGCCATTGTGTATAGTGGATTCTCATATACACTTTGATGCTGAGACTACAATACCAGAATATTTCTTTCGACATGTATCGGTTCAAAGGCTTCCATATCGGCGATTCAATTTCATCGTGCAAAAATTGAGCCAAAAAAATCATATCAAAAGGGAGATTTAATTCAATACTCAAATGTTCACAATGTCTACTGTTGGCGTATCAGTGATTTTAGAAGTTTTAAAATAATTTAAACAAATGAATTGCTAAAATCCTTGGTATAGTTATAAACGGAATTGGCCAGAAAACTTAAGTTAGAATTCAGGGAAAATTAATAATTAACGATTAATTCCAATAGTGTTCATAATACAGTACACAGATTAGGAAGTGAAAGAAATTTCATTATCGTAACGCGTGTTATTTTCCATCTCAAGTTGAACAAAAAGTCTATGGCCCGGATTTTTCGTATCGAAACATAATATTAAGGCGTTAATATCTCGATTTTTGTTTTGAAAAAATTAGCCCCATACTTGCATTCAATCGCTTTTATTACAAAATGATTTGAAAAAGGTGTCTACTCACTTAAATTCAAAGTTTGTAAACGACATTAGTTCTGAATCATTTTGTAAAACTAAACTGAAGGCAATGATAAAAGAAAACAAAGGACACACTTGGAAGTTTATTGGCCTTTTAAGCCATGGCTTTATTCTATTTTTTCCATTTTTATTTGATATATACATTTTCATTAACTATAATTTACTATATCGTTACTATTTAATTAACCTTTGAAATCTCAGGTTAAAATACTTTCATAGAATCTCAAGTGAGGCCCCTGATGCATTTTTTGGAAATCCGGATGAAATCGTATTGAACATAGTTTAACACCATGCTAAATTAAAAAAGTCGAACTTGGAATACATATCATGGAGTTTCTGGCTGCAATCTGTCTAAAATTGATGCCGGACACTCGACCGACCTCGCCTATTTTAAAAAATTCGAAGAAATGGACACAAAACTGACCTCTTTTATAAAAAAACGAGTCGTGAAAGATATATCGTTTTCACTCACTTATATCATTTATTACTTTTCTATGATTTTATGACCCTCTATACAATATAATATCCAATACGGATTTTATTTGTAAACAGACGTTCAGTGAATAAACCGTATATGTATATCTAATTCAAATACATATATTTACAGTGCCGTGCAAAAGTTTGAGTACGACTATAAAATCCATATTTCAATGTCTTTTTGTCCCATTCAACCCAAATAAGGGTTTTAATCTGAGAGCCTATTGAAATTCAGACTGAATGAAACATTTTGAGGACAACATTTGGCCGGCCTTTGGCCATTTTTGGCCATTAATAAATGGCGACCAAAAATGAGTTTTTTAACGGGCCAAAGGATCAAAAAGTAATGTACATCACTGGAAAGGTCTTGAAAAATAGATTTCATTTTTGGCCTCAAACATCAGAATCGGCCGGCATTTGGCCAAGATATGGCCAATGTTTCAAAAATGAAACGGCCAATTTTTTCAAACGGCCATATCTTGGCCAAATGGCCAACAATTTGAACGTTTCACACCAGAATTCACATGCACTCCTCAAGACCTTTTAAACAACATATAACATGGCCAAGAAACGGCCGTTTGAAAAAATTGGCCGTTTCATTTTACCATTTTCCAACGGCCATATCTTGGCCAAATACCGGCCGATTTTGATGTTTGAGGCCAAAAATGAAATCTATTTTTCAAGACCTTTCCAGTGATGTACATTACTTTTTGATCCGTTGGCCCGTTAGAAAACTCATTTTTGGTCGCCATTTATTAATGGCCAAAAATGGCCAAAGGCCGGCCAAATGTTGTCCTCAAAATGTTTCATTCAGTCTGAATTTCAATAGGCTCTCAGATTAAAACCCTTATTTGGGTTGAATGGGACAAAAAGACATTGAAATATGGATTTTATAGTCGTACTCAAACTTTTGCACGGCGCTGTATATATATGAGAAAATATTCGGAAAAAAATGCGTCCATCCGCAGGGACCTCATGTGCGATTTTAAGGGTAAAAATTAACAAATATATCATTGTTTTAAAGCTATATTGAAGAAAACATATTTGATTTTTGGTTGTTCAATATAAGTAACAATGTTACTAAGTACAAAGTGAGTTCTTTCGATTAAATCGATTCATTTGGACATTTATCTACGAATGGTTTCAAAATTGATGCCATACAGATTGATTTTAATCAAATTGTATAAAATAGAGATAAGGTAATACTTCCGAGGCACACAATCACTCTTCACTATATAAATTATAAATATTTGGGAATTAGTATCCAGGTTTATAAACACTATGTCCTAGGAAATTGTTTATACAGATATAAGAAATATTTAAAGTTCTATTGAAATTGAACCAAAGACGCTTTACCTATGGGAAAATCAGAAAATAAAATAAGGTTACTGAAATGTAATAAAAAGAAACGAACCGTAATAATAAAAGACACAAAATCCACTTTTATTCCAAACCTAGTATTTTCATTTCAAATTAATTTTTTTCAGTATAAATACATACTTATATACACACCCGTTCTTTTGTGCAGTCAAAATTATGTCTTCTCCTTTTTTTGGTTTAAAACAGTACGGAAAAACTATAGTATAGGAGTTGCATTGTACACACACAACCAGTAAAGATCCCTGATGAACAGATATGGATTCTCAAAATTCCCGCTGGAATTGATAAAAAGGCCATCTTTTTAGCTCTCCCATCATCAGTGATTAGATCGGGCTTCCGTTGCGACTTCTAATCATCACGATATGCATAATTGACTTGCTTGATTATTTTTAATAATAACAATCGTCTTTAACAGTTTCGCATTGTATTTAAATGATTTTTTTAATGTTCGATTTCCCGCCAAAGAAAATAGTGACCATTTTCGCAAAAATAGCTTATATAATTCGTGGTTGTAATGAAAAAATTAAAAAAAAACTGGTTCTACTAGGTATCACTTTGCTTTATCGCAGTAATTTTTTGTTAAGGACAAGAAATACTGCAAGGCCCTAGTAATAATATTGAGCATAGGATAGAGATAATTGTTGAAGATAAATATCGATTATTCCTACAAAAACGTAGTCCATTGCGTATTAAGGCCACTGTAATGAATACCTGACATTCAATTGGCATTGAATCAAAGTTTGAATAAGGAAAAATAATTTTGTTGATGAAAAAAGTAGAACAGTGATTAACTCCTACTTTAAAGCATAAAATCCAAAACCAATTTACATTTTACATTTGACCACGGAGATGGGTACACCCTGTATTGCGTGATAGACACGATCACGACGACTTGCGCATCACGCCAGTTTGTATATACTGAATGACATTCCAAAAAAAATGTGTTTAGAAGACATTTGTGGATGTTGCATTTCAAACCATCTGTTAAAAGCTTTGACTTGGAATAATGGAGTTGGAAAATAGCGTGAAAAAGGCCGACGAAGTCGCTGATGACGATCGTATCGAATTGCCATCTGATACTTTAGCTATTCTTAATGAATTTTTACGCAGCAAAAGTATGCAGGAATCTATGGAAACAGATCACAGCAATTTCGAAGAAGATTGGGTAGGATAATTTTATATATAATTCATTGAAGATTCATAAAATGTAATGAATTGTATCTATTGCAGCAATTGTCTCAATTCTGGTACGATGAGAATACGATACGTTTGTTGTCAGAAGTATGTTCGAAGTTAATTCTTCATCGCCATCAGAGTACACCTTCATCACAAATCAAAATTGCTTTACTTTCTTGCCCGTCGCTTTACAAATCCGTTAAGGCTGTTCATCCAAATGGTGTAGTCCGTCTGTTTGAATTTGACAACAGGTTTTCTGTGTTCGGTGATGATTTCGTGTTCTATGATTACAAGGACAAAGAGAGAAACGAAACCTCTTTGAAAGATTACGAAAATCACTTTGATATCTTAATCGCAGATCCACCATTTTTATCACAAGAATGCATTGAACCTATAGCAAATATAGTTAAGCGTTTGAAGAAAGAAGATTCAAAGATTATTATGTGCTCGGGACAAACAGCCGCAGGTTGGATTAAAACCTTTCTAGAATTGAATCAATGTGAATTTCGTCCTGGCCACGAAAGAAATCTAGCAAATGAATTTTGTTCTTATGCCAACTTTGATCTTGATAATTTTGTGCGATAGCTTTTCAGTTAATAAAGACTAACTTTTCAATGAACTTTAGTGGTGTTTTTTCTTTCGATTTTGCTACATATTACAGCTTCCTTGCGTTTACTTACCTATTCGGGTTTTGACTAAGCCATCAATGAAGGGAAAAGAACGCATACTTGACATATTTATAATTTTAATATTTCGTCTATATAATGCACATATGTGACCTATTGTTCAAACAGTAAATCAATCAATCATTTATTTATTCTAGAATCAATGTGTTACAAAAGTGTTATAATTACATAGCTATTTTATTTTAAAATTTATTGTAATAAAGAAGTTTGCGACTGTTGATGAATTCTTAATTTAGATTCTTTGTTTTGAATATACGATGTCGTAGTTTACTGTCAAATTAAGCTTACTTGGAATCATGAAAGAAATAAAAACAAACAAACACCACCGTTTTATTTTACGAATCTTTTTCCGTTTTTATTTGAATTTTTCTTATTTTCTTTAGTTAGTGTCAATTGAATAAGATGTTCAAAATTGATGCTTGATGGTGTTCCTCTTTTGTATTTTTTTGAGTTGTTTAGTAGACATTTTGATGGCAAATTATCGCCGTTGATCATCCTCAAAATATGCTTTTAATTTACTTTCGGTTTTTTTGTTTGTTTTTTTCTTGTTTGTTTGATTGTATGTTTTTTTTACAAAAGATTTACGACATCAGCCGGCATTTCTTCAATGGTGGTGTTGTAAAATTGTTCAATGTCATTGAGTGCACGCTTGTCATCGTCAGTGATGAAGTTGATGGCTACACCTTTACGACCAAATCGACCACCGCGACCAATTCTGTTGGCAAATAAAAGGAGGATTTTTAAATGTCAATAATAATAATGATAACGTTTTTTTGTCTCGAACGCTTCAAATCAATCATACCTGTGGATGTAGTTCTCCCGATTCGATGGTAAATCGTAATTGATAACTAAAGAAATTTGTTGAACGTCAATGCCACGAGCCAAAATGTCAGTAGTTATCAAAACTCGCGATGAACCACTGCGGAATTGCTTCATGATCAATTCACGTTCACGTTGATCCATATCTCCGTGCAATGATGATACCGTAAAGTGTTTGCTAGTCAAATCTTCTGTCAATTGATCGACCTTACGGCGTGTATTGCAGAAAATGACAGCCTGAGTCACCGATAGCGTTTCGTAGATGTCGCACAAGGTACCAACTTTCCATTCCTCATGTTTCACATTGACGTAGAACTGCTTGATACCTTCAAGTGTCAATTCTTCCTTTTTGACCAGGATACGAGCTGGGTTTCGCATGAAACTCTTGCTCACTTCCAATACATCGGTTGGCATGGTGGCCGACAGAAGTACGACTTGAACGTCCGATGGAAGAGTCTTGAAGACATCATGAATTTGGTCCTTGAAACCACGTGACAACATTTCATCGGCTTCGTCAAGCACGAACATTTTGATGTAGTTCGTACGCAACACTTTACGATTAATTAAATCAAAAACACGGCCAGGTGTTCCAACGACCACATGAGCGCCTGAATCTAATTTCCGCATGTCTTCACGTACGTTGGTACCACCGATGCACGCTGAACATTCGGCTTTCAAAAATTCGCCCAAATTGATGACAACTTTTTGGATTTGAGTTGCCAATTCCCGAGTGGGTGCCAAAATGAGAGCTTGGCATTCACGCAAGTTGGTGTCAATTCGTTGCAAAATTGAAATGGAAAATGTTGCCGTTTTTCCAGTACCTGAAAATGTGTGTAAGCACCTTATTAATGAACATCTAACAAATGATTTTTACACGCAGTTCGTTAATACAATTCATTGAAAAAAAGAAGTTAAGTCCATTTTTGCCTGTTTTTTTTTTTCTTCTTCTAAAATAACTTTGTACCTACCCGATTGCGCTTGAGCAATTACATCATGCTCCTTGATGCATGGCAAAATTGCGCGTTGCTGAATAGCCGAAGGACGCTCGAAACCATAAGCGTAAATGCCACGAAGTAATTCTTCCTTAAGGTTCATGTCATCAAAATTGTCGACGACTTCATTCCAGTTGCTTTCAATCATACCCTCAGTTTCCAAGCCAGCTGGTCCATTTTTGTATTCTTCGTCACCCCTACTCAGACAATCGAATGAAATGTAATGGATTATTCAATCAGCTATTAATCGTTTTTGTTTAAATGCATTGAATTTCAACAATTAGACGAGAGTTGCTATCGTTCAGTTAATGAATTATATATATTTTTATACGTATTTACTATATAATATAAAGTTGCACTTGTGAGCATATACAATCAGATTGTATGAAGGCTATAATATAGTGATGTACGCAGTGAAGGCGTAAACGAAGATGATGGTATATACTTTGAATGTTTGAGCGTATATATAATATGTCCAGTAATGGTAATATACAGCCAATTACAATTGAATGAACATAACCTTAACGTGGAACAATATGTTATAGCTCAAAACGAAAGTTTGTGACGAATGCATGAATGCAAAGGGCTTTACGTGCATCACATGAATCACTCGAAATGGATATGATGAAAGAAGAGTGATTATTGATTAATTATCAAAGAAAATATTTCGATTTATCTCAAAATAAATAAAATGTCTGTATATACAAATACAACGAATATTCTACGATTACTCATCATACTATATATATGCACATAATGGAATGAAATTATTCTTTTTTTCTGATGTAAATTTTTCTCATATTATTTTAATGGATAGTTTTAGAATAAAAGCAATTTGAATTGTTTCCCGGAATGCAAAACGTAATTTTCGGCTCGTATTAATAAATATGTTTCAGACTCTAATGGCGTGACGACTCCATTCAATGCCGTGTTATAATGTTCAAAGGTGCTTTTAAATCTGAATTCTATGCCGATAGTTCGAAATGGACTTTATATTTTCAAATTCACAGAAATTTTCACAATTTTTTTCAACAAAATACACCAAAAATGAAAAATAAACTGTTTATTTCAATAATTTAATGGTTTTTATCAATAAATTCGATGAAATACTAACATTTTTCAAAAAAATTACTTTGGCACTTTTACACACGTGCTAAAATGATTCAATATAGCCAAGCGAAAGAACGCCATGTTGAAAAAGGTTATAATACATCATTTTCATAGGCAAGATACAATATTCTATGTATGCGTTCTGCTTTATACGCTTACAATGCCGCCAACTGCTTAATGAATAATATGAGCGGCAAAATTTACTTTGCATGATTTTAGATTGCCGAATTGTGTATTAGTGTTTAATAAAAAAATATATAATTGAAATTATTCAACCGTTTAATTCATATTTAACGATTTAAAAATTATATTTAATGTAAATTATTCGAAGTTTTTTTCGCATATAGCATCGGAAGGTATTCGAAGCATTTTTTTTAGGTTGGTACAATCCAAGAATATTGCATAGTGGTTATTATGAGATATGAGTGCGTTTAATTCCTATTCTACTTTTTTTTCTACTATTCAATTTTGAAAATAAAAGCATTGAAAATGGCTAGTTTTTTTTCACATTTATTTCAAATAAAGTTGCTAAAATCATAGTAGATACTAATAAATTAAACAAAATGTAGGTTTAACAGACGATGATATTACAAATTGATACATGTATTTGACATGCGCCACCTTGGAACGCATTTGAGAAGTAATCATCGATCGCATCCAGTTCTATGACATATCTGATACCGACCAAACATACAACAAAAATCATTATTGTAAATACGGCTGCTTTGTTATTGGAAGTAAAATAAAATCGAATAGAAAACTTGAAAAACTTACGCGCAGAAACATAAAACTGAAGAACAAACATTTCAACGATTTACGTGTGGATAATATTCTGCGAAGCTACATAAGAAAAATGTTAGCACTCGGTAATACCCAAGCCAACTTACCTGAAGTTAATTTCAAAGAAAAAGTACGTTGCGGTGAAGTGTATCGAAACTTGAACGGGAATGAAATGTTTCAAAAATTCTACTACCGGTGCTTGGAATGTTCGTTAGACTTCGAGAGCTCACCAGAGTTTGAAGAACATGTTATTGCCCATTATTTGCAAGACGACGACGATGATTGCACAGCAGTTGATAAATCGAAGAACAACGAAAATGTAATTAGTATATCTTCGGACGAGGACGAAGAAGAAGAAGAAAATGGCTACTTATATGCATTTGAAGTTGCTTCATTGGTCGAGGAAAACATCTCGGAAAACGATTTACCTTTACCTCTAATGCAAATGTTGAGCGAGCAGTCGGCCGATAGTTGTGACCAAACAATACAACTCAGCGAAAGTGATGAGGACGATGAGCGAAGTGTGGTATTTCCGTGCGATGGACTGCGAAAACAAGCCCTACATCAATATTCTGAACACTGTTGCATGCAATGTCCAGCAATATGCAACACAAAAACCGAGCTAAACTTCCACTTGCATATTCATACACTTCCGAATACCGTGGTGTGTCCGCACTGTTATGAAGCATTCGCAAACACAATAAAACTTAATGAACACATAAGCTTGACTAAGAAGAAAAGGATACGAAAGAACAACAAAGAAAAGCGGATTGAAAACGATAATATCCAAAACAGTAAACGGGCCAAGAATCAAACTCAAGAACAGGAGGAGAAGCAGGAGCAAAAGCAAGAGCACGAACAAGATGCATTGAAGCCAAACACGATGGACGTAGATGGGGCTAAAGATGATGAAAATGGACGATGCATAGACCTCAATGAAATAAATAAAGTAGCGAAAGGATTACAGGATAACATAGAAAGTAGCGGCAAAAGTGAAGCAATTATTTCAAATACAAATACAAATACAAATATTTCATCAAATTGTCAAAAGAATAATTCCGAAGATTGTGACCCAAATGTTAATATTAAAAATGTCTTAAATGATACGTAAACTATGAATGACCCAAAGGCTTTTTCTCTAATCCTCTGTATTTGGAAAGAAAAACATTGGTTTGACAAATAAAAAATACAAAATTACTTCAAAAATTTCCATTGGTTTTTTGGTTGTTTATTCATAATAATAAGGTGTTTTTCATTCCTACAGAATAAAAACAAGTATTATCGATCAAAAAGGTTTGACAAGATCGTTTGATCGCATTTGATTGCAGCCATAAAATAGCACAGCGATTGTCCTTTTGGATCCCCTTTGCAATCGAAAACTTTAGTCGTAATACATATGCATAAATTCTAAATCTCTTATTTCCATGATATCTGTCTTCAGCCGTTGTTTGACTATTTCACGCCAAATGGCTTCTCTGTCGCGATTATTCTGTATGCCCATCCGTTGCAATGAGTTATCGTTCAGTCGAAGTAAGGCTCGTCCAGTTATTTCGTGCTGTATTCGTAGAGACGAAATAATTTTCAAACAGGATATTGAAGTATGATGAAAAATATAACCGCAAAAAGAAATTTACCTGTAAAAATAGTTCGTTGTACTGGTGATATTCACTACAGTGTCTTCGATACCACTTTTGAACATCGGCCACAGTCCAAAGGATAGCCGGTATTGGTCGGCATGTTTTTGTCTATAAAAAATTACAAATAACATACGCTATGAGTTGATTGTATCATTAACCAAATCGATTCAAACAACATTTGGTTGTATATTTTTTTCAAATGCGAATACTAAAATTCGAAACTCACCTTGAGTTTAGTAATTTCTTCTACCATCTTATGACGAAAGAAGATGTAAAACTTTCCAAATCAAGTATATACTGTTACTGGCTTTTATTGAAATAAAGACAAAGTTATCAACATACTTATTTTCACTCTAACAATCGCTTGTTTCCAGTAGCTATGATAAATATTACATATATACATTCTCCATGAAGTTGTCTGCTATTGGTCGTTCTTTGTGTATCTGTCAAAAATAAAAACATGACAGCGAATAAATTAATACGTTTATAATAAGCTCTACTAGCTGTCTCAAACATAAAACAAGGGAAAAAATATTTTTATCATGGAATCTTCTGGTGGTGAAAGTAGCAGTATGAGTGCAGCTGAGAAAGCAAAAGATCGCATGGAGCGTCTGCATAAATTACATTTGTTGAGAACTACAGGTATTAGCGCTGATTATTTGATACATTTTAGCTACATAGTTCAATATGATGACCAATTATCTTCCTTTCACCTAGCACGTAAACTGAATCATGCTGAAGTAGTTGCAGAAGATGCTCGCAACAAATTGCCAGCCAATTTTGAGGCACGGCAGAGACAGGCGGATTGGCTCGCCGCAAATGAGAAGGGTAGAGCTGAAGCAGCGGCAAAAGGACTGGATTATGATCGCATAAAGCTACTCAATGTATCGGCAGTTGAAGCTGCAAACAATGAGAAAAAGAAGCGCAAAAAGAATCCAGATCCAGGCTTCACAGACTACGAAACGTTGACCGCTAGGCAATATAATCGTCTTGTAAAACAGTTTCCTGAACCAGATATGGACAAATATCAAAATAAACGACAACAAGTTGGAGACGAAATATTCTACGGTGGTGCTCATACGATATCACAAGGAACACATAAAGATACACCGCAGGCCATTAACAATATGGTGAATGATTTGGAACAGCAAATTATGAAGCGCAAAAGCTTCTCGAGACGACGCACTCACAACGATGACGCTGATATCGATTACATCAATGAGAAGAATGCTCGTTTCAACAAGAAGCTGGAACGTTTCTATGGCGAACATACAGCAGAAATCAAACAAAATTTAGAAAGAGGAACGGCCATTTAATATCGTTGTTTTTCCTTCTACCATATAGAACTTGCATCTTGTTTCTTCAATAAAAAGCGATTTAGGGAAAATTGACTAGCATTTTTCAAGATGAAGGACAAGGTTCAATGTTTAATGACACCATTTTAAGCTGCACACATAAGTTTTATGTATCTTAAATACTACGCAGTTACCAATGTGGTTTGGTGGTTGCGCTTGAGTTTTACATAAAAATGCGCCAATTTAATATAGGACATAAATAAATTGAAAATAAGAATACAATTGACTATGTAACATTTATTCGAAAAAATGAAATCAATTTAAATTAGGATACGTGGATGGTTGTCAATGTGTGTATCTGTTAGATTTCTTCTGGAAAAACCATAATTGATGAATCGTTCGTAACAGCGATGCAGTTTTCATCATCTAAATTGGCATCGTCTAGGTGACACAGGAAGGCATCATCTTCATACGTAGGGAAAAAGTATTGAGGTAAATTCCAGTCCTTGTTATTGCCCAATGAGTAATGATTATTATGTTTCAGATGATCTTGCAAATCGGATGAATTTGGGAAGCGTTCGTTACACGTGATGCATTCCAATGTATACATTTTTCTCCTAACAAAATTAACCATTTTCACGCGGTCATAAAATGACATGTTTTCTGTTTCTCGATCGAAATCAATTCCATGTTCAAGGTTCATGTGAGATTTCAATTCAGTAAAGTCGCTATTTTTCTGCGTACAGTAAAGGCACGTCACATCCTGGTCATCACCTTCCCAATCAGACCAACTTGTGTTTGAGTCGCTGTCACGTTCAAAAATGTTGTCGCCTTCCAATTGATCTGGCTCTTTCTTCGGTTGAATTTTTTTATGGCCTTTTTGAATTTTGTCCTGTTGCTTCTTTCGCTGCTGCTGCTGATTGTGTGATTTATGTTGATAGTGAATTAGAAAAAAGCGGTCATAATTCTTATTATCTGGATTGATACGTTTGTGACCCTTTTTCCGCATGTGTTCCTTGAGTGTTGGTCGATCTTTGAATGTTTTTTCGCAAAACAGACAGACCAAGTTTTCCAATTTTTGTTGTACGGTATCGATAAGCTCATCGATAAACACCAAATTTTCTGGTTTCCCCAATTGCATGAAATGTTTGCTAAACAAATGTTCAACGTAGGTACTTCTTGTCGGTTTAATTACATCACGACAAAACAGACAATTTCTTTCAAAGTCTTGGTCGGTCCTCTCGTATTGATGTTGTGTCAATGCAAGTTCCAAACATTTCTTCCGTAGCTTTTGTCTTAGTTCGTTATCTTGTGGCAGGACATCGCACAGCAAAAAATACTTTTCATTTTTGGATGGTGTTCCATTTGGAAGGATATCCATGAGCATGGTCGTGCAGAATTCAGCAATTCTTGTATCTTCGCCGCAGAATATGTTACGCCAATGTGCCAGATAATCATGGAATATGGCAACTTCATCCTCATCCCCAATAATTAGCCGATGTTGCAAATATAAGTGCGTCAAATAGTCCTGTTTTTCCTTGTAAAATTCAAAGATTTTATCGCAGAACAGACATGGAAGTGTCTGTATTGGGTACAATTGTTCTCGTACAGACGTACCACATTTTTCAGCAAAATTCAATGGCCCCACAACACCTTCACTCTTTTCAGACATATTTAGTTGGAATATAATGAAATTTTCCAAAAAAAAAAATAATATATCGGTTCAGTAGAATATAAATCAACTTAGAGTCATTTAATCTAGCCTTTTATGTATGTCTATTTTTGACAGATGGCGTAGTACTAGAAGAAATATGTGTCAAAAATATTTTGTTCATTCTCAATGTTGTCACCTATGTTTTGCTAAAGATGTTTTCAAAATGATTTGTGAAACCGTTCATTCTATAGAACCAAAATAGGACTAGGAAAAACGAAACGATATGGACCAGACTCTTGGCTCGATCGTCTTATAGGGCTCTATGCCCACCAATATACTGTGCCTGTTCGTTCACTGCTATGCCTCTAACAGCCTCTAATCCTGATTTTCCACTTTCTTATCGGGAAAAATGTTGTATTTATTACTAGCTAGTCGCTTGATTCCAGTTCACACCCGAAAAATGATGTTAGTAACTTTATATAAAATGATGGTTTCATTTGTCTTAATGCGGGATACGAATTTGAAGTACTATTTTAAATCCCGCCCAAGGTTCAATTTTGGCTTCACTACATTCAAATCGATAAACATTGAACACGAAACTAACGTGTTTAAGTCAAATTTGTCCATTTTGCGATAAGATAAAATGCGCTCTCCAAAAACCCATATAATTCGATGTCATAAACGTATTTATTACAGTGAATGAAATTCTAGTTGTTAAACTTCAAATGAAGTGTTGTTCGTAGAAGAAACAATCAGATTTTTATCAATATGGGCTCAAAATCTTACGAATAAATTAATTTAACAATTAGAAAATATAAAATTAGTATATTTATGTGTGCCTTCATATTCGAGTTAAATACGTTAATATAATGACAGTTTTGAATTGAATTTTATGCAGCAACGACCTCACCTCTTTGACCGCTTCAACACAACAAAGCGTGCCTACATTCTGCAAAGGAATTTCAATTACAGTTATCAATTGATTCTCTAGATGAGTAAAAATGACCATAAAGCGTGAGAAGAAATGCAACTAGAAAAACCCAAATAGGAACGAAAAGATAATTGAAAAATCCACTCAAACGCAATTTCACATCAATATTTCCGTTTGCTATTCAATAATATTTCGGTAGCGGTGCTATGTGCCCATTAATAGATCTTCGAATGAAATGCAAACGCATATCCATAGATCAACGTGTTGATTGTGAATTGATGTATGAAACCAAAAAAAAAAACGAAACGTAAAATGGATATTTCTTTGGCCTAGAATCGTGTCGACTAGTGTATTTTTTTTTTCCTAAATAGTTGTATAAATATTCCACACATATAATTTATGTTCTAAGAGTTAAGTGTTATTTTTGTCATTTCATGTTTAATTTTAGACTGCTTATTCTAACAAGCATCATGATGCGTTTTCAAAATATATTTTTCCCTTATTATGCGGTTCAATTAGCTAATAAATTACATTCATGTTACAGTAAGATGTAAATTAGTATAAATGTTCATTTTCAATAATATGTATGATGCTAACGGTAGTTGTCTCCGAGATCGAAAAGGATTTATATCATTTCATTACACAAAAGCAGCAGAAAGCATGGTTTTGTGCGACTTTTATGATAGTTTATTACACAAATTTGGCATTCAAAATATGCACTATTTTATTCGTACTTCTGGAAAGTTGAGTTCGGTTTTTTATGACCTTTTGTGTTTATTATTCAGTAGTTTGATCGAATCGGGAAAAGTGTAATCAGCGAGCGATTTCAATATTATATGTTAAATTAAAGGTTCAGATCGCCAGCAAAGGGATGTATATGGAATTAACTTGATTCATTCATTAGGTGGTTTCTTATTAGCTTCAATTCAGAAAATCGTAATGGAAGTAGTTTTTCTTTAACCGGAGAACAATCAAAACATAAAGAAAAATGAACACTTTTATTCTGGCGGTCACTGATAGTTAGCATTTATTGCACACAGCAAGAGTTCTTATGGCCATTTTTATTTTTGAGTCGTGATTTTGGTCGATATTTTTCAAGGTATACTAATTGCCGGGAATCTGCGGGGAGAAGACCATTGTAAGAAGAATATGATTAGTTATAAAAAAATTATTTTCCCCAATCAATTAAAAACATCAATTGAACGAGTATAAAAATAAGAACAAATATAAATTCAATTCTAAAGCACAACTGTGCTCAATTAATACTTACTGATGGCTCCTCGACGTTTCTCACGAATGAGTTCAACGGCAGCTTCATATTTTAGGCCAAGTTCAATCAGAGCAACAGATACTAACACCGGTGCACGCCCTAAACCAGCAACACAGTGTACGGCAACGCAAGCTTCTGGATTTTCTTGGTAATTTTTCCGAAGAATTTCCAACCACTCGTCGACAATTGGTTGCGGTGGAGGTGTTCCATCATCATAGGCTAAATCACGTACAGTAATTCCCTGAGATTCCAACTCGTCAGTTTTATAGCTTGGTTCACACACACGAACCACCGTGCTAACGTTATTTTTCTTCAATTCCTACAAAATCGTACATGGATTTAAATTTTAACCGATTTCATTATAACCACTCGCCTCTCTAGTGTTTTCTTACCAAAATGTAATTTTGGATATTGCTATCTGATGGTCGATCCGTGATTAAAAACTTCATTCCTTTGAATTCGATAAGGGCTGGCGCCGGTCTTATATCCTTTTGACGCATGTTGCTAGTCATTTATTTCTTCAGTAGTTCCTTATTTATTAGAAAATTTATAAGTCACAGTAGTATTGGACTGTTTGAAGCTTTTGTCTGACCGAATTTCAGATATTTCAAGTCTTGAATAAAACAAAATGCGAAGTTTGCATTACGTTGTGTATGATTTGCTATTAATTTGACTGATCAACAGCTTACCTGCAATGAAGAATCGCCTTTCTGTCGAAGAAGTTGATAACAAGACAAAAGCGAGTTATATATAATTTGCCAAAGCAGGTCGCAAAAAATTGAAACTTCAACTTTAATTCCAACTCGTCAGCTTACTCGTGTTGTGCTTGACAATATTCTGCGCTATCTAATTGAAACTCCATAGATGTAACACCAATACAATTTACCTATATTGAAAAAAGTGAGCTGTAAATGAGTGGTTGTATCGCTTTGAATCAGAAGGCAACAGATATGATATTCAGATTTCAAATTGAAGTAATTCGAACACAAAGAACATTATACTGCAGCTAACTCGTGTTGTTTTCAGAAATCTTTGCCAAGAGAGAAATTTGTTGCACGAGTATTCTCGTATTTGCCAAGGTTATCTATTTATAATTTGTAATAATACTACGTTAAGAATTTGCTTCATATTATTATGCTGTCGATGACATATCAATTATGCCAAAATATCAATGTAGTCTACAGCTTTTGTTTGTTTTGCATTTAACATGCAACAACTTTCGAAGCTCTTGAGGGATCTCAGAACCTAAAACTTTTCTTTTTCAATAAAACATTTTCCAAATATTATCTTCTTTATGAACTATAGTTAGAACTTCTTGATGGAAAAAAAACTCAAATCAATTTCAAGTTTGATGCAAATTTTGAGGAATATTTTTGAGGAGGGCCCACAATGGTGTCCGCATTTATATTAAATTATATATATTTATGCAATAACGGTGGAATTATCGACTTGGATCCATTAGATATTCAGCATATAGGATTTTTTACTATAGTATTATAATGAATCTTACCACAATAGCCATGCAGATTGTTTTTATGTTTCGTGTCCTTTTAAAGTCCTTTGATAGATGTCTTCAATATAACTTTCCTCTCATTTATTTAATTGAATATTGTCGTATCCTCAGATAAGTATATGTTCTTTATATCCTCTATTTATGAATACGCATAATTTTAGACGCATTTGATGTGCACTTTTATCCGAATGAATAATTGGACATACAAGTGAATCCAATCTTATGCCAGCCAATGCAATTTTTTTTTTAACTTTGTGCAAATATATTCAGTTTTGGAACTTTTGATATTAAATACTCTGTTTCATATTTTTTCAATTCTTGTCAACATAAAAACCGCACAAATATCAAAGAATAAGATGAAATATTTTCACAAATTGATCAAATTAACATGAAATATTTCTTATAATGTTTGCTTTGTGAAAAGACTTTGATTTAGTACTTTGGTTCTAGAACATTGGCATTAGTACCAAATGTCATGTATAAATTTTTCTTGGGGTGAAATTAAGATAAAGTAAGAGTCTCATAAAATGTCATAGTTTACGTAATGTTACATTGCAACAAGAAACGCCAGAAAAAGAAAATTATAAATGGAAATTTTGAAAAATAAACATTGTTAAAATGATATTAAACATGCGGGAGTATGCTGTTTTTTTTAGAAGAAAAACACATTACGGGGTGAACATTTGTATATAATGCATTTACCACCAGAAATATACTCAACGAGGTACTTGGGTACTCAATGGGTTTGAATTGCATTGTGTCTCGTTTGTTTTTTTATCCATTTAATTATTTTTTCTACCATATCTTTATCTTATCTAACAACTAATAAATAATATTCAATTATTTTTGTATCGATTTCTCATTAAATGTACTTTTTATTCACGGTCAATAGATTTGCATACCAAATATTAATTATTCGACACTTTCTCTATAAATATGATGGACCATTGTTTGAATTTGATTTTAAAAAAGAGTTTTATATTCTTTCAATTGATTAAATGATGTTTTACGTTTATTTATGATAATTTTTATGAAAATTGTTCAGAATAATTGGTTGAAAATCAAATATTCAGGAGTTTATCGATCTGTGTTTTCTCCGTCCTTTTCAGAGTCAAAGATGTTTTTCAAGAGGAGTCGACTGTATTCAACGATTTCTTTGCACTCATCTTTATCATGTGCCACTTTTATAATTTCATCGAGCGTGCTCGCAAAATTGAATTCCACAGTGCGACAACGTTCTATTGCTTCATTGCTTTCTGTGAGAGAACATAGTGCTGATAAAAGTGTCTCCAGGCAAATGTTGTACTCAGTACTCGGTTGGATCAATGGTATAATCATTTCTATGACTTTTAGCTTTATCAATTCATCTTTAATTCGCGGAAAATCATTACACAATGAATTTAGGAGAAAAGCCGCACGAGTAATGAGTTTTTCTTGTTCCGATTGCTGTAAGCATCCCAATAAACACTCGAGACCACCAATTTCTGTGAAAGCGTTCAAGCACGGTTCATAGCTTCGAACCAAGCAAGAAATCGCTCGTATGCCATCAATTGCGGTCTCACTTTCAGTCAGCAGATCCATAAGTTTTGGTAGCACATCAGCCGCTAATAATTGCTGTTGGCAGTAGGGATTGTTTTGAGCTAATTCAGCCACCAACCTAGCAGACTTTTTACGAATCGCGGAATACGGTGAGCACAGACAAGGTAACAAGACGAATAGACCACCAATTTTGCAGAAGTCAATGGCTGTATCAATGTCATCAACGTAGTTTAGAATCGTATCCATTGCGTTTACTTTCATATCTTCAGTTGCTGTTTCTGATCCGATGGTTTCTGCAGCGGTTTGTAATTGTTCGATTACGTCAATTGTGAGGGCTTTCAGGGCGTTTTCCAGAAATTGCCGTCGCTCTGGATCCATCCTTTCGTGAACGTGATTTTCCCTGCTTGGTGCATCCTCTTCTTTGGTTGCTTCCATCGCAAAACGAAGGAGACCCTAGTAAATTTTAAATGAGTAATGAACTTTTTCTGACCGTTGATATGCAGATAAAAAATCTCAATCCTATATATATATTTGTTTACCTGTAAATTCCTTGGTCGCCGATTATTATTATTTTCAGCATCCATCGTTTAGTGTTTTACTTTATTTTGAAAGAACGTTCAAGAATGTTGTAGAGCACACTGTTGTGAAGATGACAGATGGTGAAGTTATATACTCCCCACCAATACTTTGATAGTCGCTTTCACTAGTAGTGACATCTATAATACATGGAAGCGGCTAATTTCAAATATGATGCAAAATTCAATAAATTGACGAGGAAAATGTGTTAATCTGAAGAAAATACGTAACTTTTTCAAAAATTAAGGAAGCAATCAAACTCGAACACAACAACAAATAGTCTCCTTATCTTATTAAAACATCTTTATTTTTGACAACCATTTATGGAATATTCACTCAAGAAATCAATATTCCTTGAATATTTAGAATAGTTCCAGTTGTTCTACCGGCATCCACTTTGAACTTTCAAGGGCGTCGTAAAAGTTTCGGTCACGCTCGATGGTCTCTCTATTCAATTGATCGACGTCAATTGTTATTTTATGATCTGGAAAATTGATTTTATTAGTTTTTATATTCCCATATTCGATATTATTTTCTTGTAAAAACCCACCAATTAATGTCAAATCATCATTTTGACTGTAGATATGGGTCATTGCCGTTGATTCATTTTGGTTTTGTGCGGCTGTATTCTCTTGTTGAATATGCGCTGTAGCCTGTTGTTGGTAATAAGCCGCAAAATCGTTAGGATCATACCCGGCCCATGCTTGTGATGCAGTCTGTCCGTATTGCCAGTACGTTGAAGGGTCATAATATTGTGAAAAATCCGTGATGGCATTTGGTGCAGCTAAGTTCGGCATAGTGACTGTATCTGGGACTGTCGTGACGGCGGCGGCGGCTGCTGCTGCTGCTGTTGAAGATGACTTAGGTTTTGGGACAGCATTGCAAATTTTCAGTGGCTTTGAACCAAGACCAATATACTAAAAATGTGAAAATCGATCTCATCATCAGATACATTTGTTGTGCTGGTGCTTCCGCAAACCAAAATCAACCGCGAAATAATACTTACACCATTCATTTCGTACAGTGCTGATTTTTGCTCTTCTTCCAAACCAAATCGTACAAAACCATAGCCCTTTGAAAATCCCGATGAATCGAGAATTACTTTGGCAGTTTTAATCGAAGAATATTTGTTGGAAAAAACTCGGTATAAGTTATAATCATCCACTTCAGGTGATAAATCTCCGACCCAAACGGAAAATTCACGCTCATTTGCCAATAGCTTATTCGAGTTACTGCTTGCGGCTTGAATAAAAGCAAACGTTTTTATGAAATATTTTTCGAACTCATTGATATTTTTGCTCATCATATTTACCATTCAATCGGAATCTTACAACAGGTGAGGTCCCCGGTCTAAAGTAGAGATATTAAAGATATTATTTGATAGGCATGTGTCTACAATTTACAGGGTTGAATTGTTCGCTGTAATAGGAGGTAAAGGCCGTAATCATTTAAGACAAATCAAAGGTTGCAGGGGTAGATTGATAGTGTATTTGGAGAATTAAATAAGTAGCGTTGCTACATTTAACATTTTAGCAGCAATCAAAAAGGTCAATCAATTCATTGGGAATGTTTTTGCTTGTAAAAGTTACAGAAACATAGGTTTAATGTCATTGGACAGCAATCATAATTGGCTCCCGGGCTTTGGGACAATTTGTAGCTAAATAATGGTGGGGATTCAACTACTTTTTAGAGGCCGAACAAACAGAATTAATTGGGAAATAAGCACAACGACTTACATGGGTTTTCCATTTAGCTTGTGCATGGCATCTATGGCTTGTTCGTCGGACAGAAAGTTTACAAAACAATATCCGGCTGGTTCACCTGTGTATTTGTTTCGCATAAGTCGCACAGTTTGTGGTTGTTCGCCCATTTTGTGGAAAGCACTTATGACGAAGTTTTCCGTCATGTAGGGTTCAAGCTGGAACAAAAAAAAAAAACAATGAAGTAAATGTGATTTAGTCGTGTTTTTTTTATTTTCCATACGTTGCCCATCCATAGTTGACAATGTACACTACTCATTTTGCAAATTATTTATTTTACAAAGCGTCACGAATTTTTTGTTCAGCCAAACACTCTTTACACGACGATGTGAATGAAGTAAATAAACTGTTTTAATGTCATGAAACATGTTGACTTGAGCGACATCTATTTCAGTTGTCATATTTGACAGATGCACCATCACTTTGGTTATAGAAAATATTTTGATTGGTTCATTAGAGTTGGAAAAATATTCAACTAATCAGGTATTTTTTAAGAAATTTTCCAATTTGCTGCATTTATTTGTAGAAAAGTTCAATTATCAAATATTTACCGTACAAACAGAAAAGTATAGTAATGCTTTTACGATCACACCAATTGTTTCATTCCAATGTTACGTCACGGGCCTTTGCATGAGACTATATTAACCACTTCCAATTTGTTCTTTTAAGATATGCAGTCAACAAAACATCTACAAGATGCCAAATACAAGCCTGATGTTTACTTCCCGAACATTCTATCACCATTCTTTCGGTCACCGCTAACGGATGTTTTTGGTTCAATCATTAATCATCAACAATATGGCAAGTGTGCACGATTCGAAATGAATATGATGGAATGCATGGAGGCCTATGGTTATGACAAAGGCAAAGTGAAATGCGCTGATTTGATCGAAGATTTCAACGAGTGCCACAATATGACCAAACAATTTTTACGGCATATGGTATGTACCATACCGTTATATTATTTTTGTATATAAATTTTTAGATCATTTGAATTTTCAAATCGTTCATTTTGTGCTAGGCAATGGAAGCTGAACGCGAGCGTCAATACAAGGCTGGCGAAGTCAAGGAAAAGTACGCACCTCCTCCTCATCCCAATGCATATTAATTATACTGAAACTTGGAAATATTTAGAACTCCAAAATAATAGTTGAATAAAATTTGTGAAAAAAGTATGTTTTTATTGGTCGTTCATAATTAATTGAAGTAGCCATTTGTTTTGCCTATCAGTTGAATGTATTGGAAATTTCGGGTGGCCATTGCAAATCAATTGCATTAACATCCAAAGCAACTATATCAATGTCTTGTCCAATGATTGAAGATATACTGGGTGATGTCCTTCCAAAATCTCCATGGATAAACTCCTTGATGTAAGTGCCCGCCCCAGTTGTGATATCTAATACGATACCTTTTTGCTGATCTATTCAATGTGAAATCTTAAATTGGTAATAGTTTAAAAATTGTATTGGAAAAACTGCTTGTCATTACCTTTCAAAATGTAACCTTTCACATTGAAAATTTCCCTGGGCCGATTAAGCAATGGACGTCGATGTAGTACTCGTAAAGGTGTTTGCTGTTGTATCATAAATCCGGTAGAAATGTCAAGTTTTTTCATTGTATCCGAAGTAACAGGAACTTTAAGTACGCACAAGGCACGGTAAAGCTTCTTCTTTTGTTCTTCTCCTGTTTTAATGTGAACAAGGTCTTCTCTTTTTACTAGTTGCAAATGTTGAACCGATACTTGTTTGGAATTATCAACACGAGATTGCATTTCTCTTGCTACTTCTGCCGGTAACGAACTTCTTTTTGCGCCAGCTATTTGCAAAACAAAGGGTCTGCCTTGTCCCAACATTCGAACATCAATATCTTCTCGGCCACTTGAAATGAATATGCATTGTTCACTATGCTCCGTTAAATCAATGCTGAAATACGGGCATATTTCACGAGAAATCAGCTCTTGAATGCTATCTTCTTTCATGCGCTTTCCACCAATTATCCACGGCGTTTGGCTAAGATCACGCGAAAGTTTTCGATAGCGACCGGCAACCCACACCGTTGGTCCGTCAATTGAATAACGTGCAAATTTGATTGGCACTGAAGATGTTTTCGGTGGTACTGGAATTTGTTTTTTGTAGTCATCGAAGTTCAAGTTTTTTGGGAAGAAATTCTTCTCGAAAAAATTACGCGTAATGGCGCGCATATTTTTACTGATAACGAAATTTGAAAAAAAGGCAACCACATTAAAAACGATTTTTCATAGTTATTAAGTTAAAATAGTATATTTTTCAAAAGCAATCCTGAAACAAACCAAATATTCTCACCTGTTTTTGCGGCTTTCACCACAATTGGCTTGAAATGATAACGGTCGGACTCCTAGTAACTTTTCCGTTTCTTCATGGTCCATATCAAAATCATAGAAGACATTGACCAGAATTCCATTTTGATTTTGTTCCAAGGTTCGGTTTGTTGTTTCACACAATTTTTTATTGAACAAATGTTTGAAAACGTCCTTAATCGAAATATTTGGTGGTATATCTGTGGAATAAAACGTAGTGAATGCATAACAACACAAATAAGAAAACAACGGAAGCCTTACTTTCATCAATTTTCCCCGGAAACTTTTCTATCAACGCCATCCAAAGTGATAACTCACGAAGCAAAAGTGCTATGGGAATTTGGATGGATGTGTACAAGGAGCTACACTCATAGTCTCGAAGTTTTGAATGATTGATCAGCTCTTGAGCAACTGAATTTACGCTCTGGAAGATGTCCAAGCATGCAATGCAGGTATTAAACCGCTGCCGTTTTACTGTGTTTAATTCGGTGGCTTCATTTTCCAAATCTTTTAGCACATTGGAAAAATCCTGAAAGCTCACATTTTTATACCGTAACACACAAATTGCACACACATCCAAACTCTCAAGATATTCACGAATTTCTCCGGTCGACATATTTTTCCGCCAGATTGAAAATATAAAACGTGCTTCTGTCAAGTAAATAATCCGATATCCCTATCAGTATTTTGTTTGACACTAGACAACAAGTTTGACAGTTCGTTGCGGGTTGAGTGTATAACACACAAAATAATAATATTCTGCCGAGTAATCATTGATTGAGACGGTTTGTTCGAAACAGCAGTAAACATGGAAACGATTTTGGGGATTAAAGGATCCGATTTTGTGATGCTGGCTGCAGATTGCACTCAAGCACACTCAATCATTTCATTGAAAGAAGGTATATCGAATATTTGTGTTTTTTCTTTTTCTTTAACATCGGCTCCAATGACTTTCATAAATTTCTTTCAACCTAACCTTAAATTTTTGTATTAGTAGCGTCTAATTTTTTTTTTCTTCCGTAAAACTAGTTATTTTTATCGAATATTTAATAACTTTCGTTTCCAGACCAAGACAAAATTCATACAATTTCCGATAAATTGTTGATTGCGGCAATCGGCGACACTGGTGATGCAATTCAGTTTACTGAATACATCTCCAAAAATTTGGCATTGTACAAAATGCGCAATGGGTACGATTTAAGTCCCAAATCCGCGGCTCATTTTACGCGCAGAAATTTGGCTGATTATTTGCGAAGCAGTACTCCGTACCATGTTAACCTATTTGTGGCCGGGTATGATGAGAACGAAGGTTCCGAGCTGCATTACGTAGATTACATTGCAAACGCCAAATCGTTGAATTATGCCGGACAAGGCTATGGTGGCATATTTGCAGCCAGTATTTTCGATCGCTACTGGCATCCAAGTAAGTATTCGAATTGGATTTAACTAAACGAGAGCAAAAGAATTTTTCAAATTTAAACAATGTTATGGTTACAGAGATAACACAAGCTGAGGCCTACGATATTCTACAAAAGTGCGTCTTGGAAATTCAAAAGCGTTTGATCATCAATTTGAGCAATTTCAAAGTAGCTGTTGTCGATAAAACCGGTGTACGTCGATTGGATGACATCTCGTCGAAGTCACTTCTCAACTACGTTCCATGAAAAATAACCACAACAACAATAATCGAATTGATCATTTAAAAAATAAACACTTTGATATAAAACGAATACAAAGCTAAATAAACTCATTTAATTTACATGGGTTTTTGATGATCGTATATCATTTATTTTTATTTGCAATAAATTAAAACGATTACAGTGTGTGTGCTTTGACATAGACATGTTACGTTAAAAACCTAACTGGCGGTATTTCTGAAACATATAAATGGCTCTTTTCGAGTTACATTCAATGTGTTGTGATTGATTTAATTATTTCGGATATTATAAAACTTTATTTCGACTTCTTCGCATCTTTTTTCTTCGATTCTTTACTACTTTGTTGGTTGGTGTTGTTTGCGCTACTGTTTTGATCTTTGTTCTTCTTTGATGATTTTTTCTCATCGGGATTATCTTGATACCTGTGTGTCAATTGTAAATGAAATTGGAAAATGTAATGTATGTAAACATTGGTTTGAGCAATCTTGGTATGTCGTTAATATCCACTTACGCGAAAAGAACCTTCAAATCTCCTTTGATCAATGCAATCAACAAAGGAGCACCAGCACAGGCTGGGACCAAGTACAGAAGAGCCGGCTGTGCATGTCGGAATATGTGCATAACCAAAATAGTCAACATCAAACCCAAGAAGTATGCGATGTAGGCTGTGTAGAAGTACGTTCTTGATTTTCGTTTCAGGCTATTATCGAATCGAAGAAGCAGTGCAATGAAAATGCCTGGAATCACAATGTCTCCCAGTCCAAGCATGGCAAAATTCGTCGCGTTGAAGCCATTCACCAGCAGATCCTGTGGGAAAACTAGTTTGATGGGCGCATCAAAACTTTTTGCAACAGTGACCTTGAATAAACCGAAGATAGTAACATAAGAGATCACATTCGTGTGCCTACAAACCAATTTGACTGATGGACAATCAAGTTATTCTATTTACCATCACATTAGTTCCAAACACCCAGAATACATCGTACACGAACAATCCAGATAGCAGAATCAGTCCCGTTACGACGTTGTTCAAATGTAGTAGCTCGACGCCATTAACAGCAAATGCAACACCAAACAAATTGTTGGCGATCCAATGTTTTTTCAATAAATACCAAACTCCAATGATTAGGGCTATGATCAAGCAAACAATGTCATGCGTTGTGAAATCATAGTCAATAAGATCTTGCTTTTGATTTCCCTTTCCCTTCGTAAAACCAATGTGAAACGGAATATTCGGAATGCTAGATGGAATTAGAGATCCAATGACCGGGCTCAATAAATGAGCCAATGCGAGCACTTCCAAAAAGAAGAAATATGCGGTCAGCAATAAGTTGATGTGATCTTTGGAAAACAGTTTGAATATGACATATAGTCCAAAGAGTGCCACTGATGCAATGATTGGAAACATCATAGCATCTTTCGAATTCATTCGCTCCAATTTTTTGCCAGAGTCCTGTTTTCATGTTCATAAAATTGAAGAAAATGTTAGTACCTATTGGCGTTAATAATTATATGATATTTGAGATAACGAGTGCCACGACACCTAAACACAAATCCACACTCAATGTAACTATAGAATATTTGAATACCTTTTGGTCTTTTTGATGCTTAACAGATCTCAATGCGCCAAAAAAAATTGGCAACATTGCCATTATAATTAGGCTTCCATAAGCCACCGCTGCACCCTCGGGTGTTGGAGCGAGTGTTTTTACTCCCGATAATGTTTCAGTTGCATTTTCAACTGTTTCTTGCAACACTTTTTCCGCAACATCTGCCATTTATATAGGTTTCGATCACAAAAACAAGGTGAATTTCTATTTCAATTATCTAAGTTTATTTAATACGACTTATCATTGACAAAAATTGAGTTATATTCTGAAATCCTCAACTTTTTATTCTATGTAAGTAAAGTGTTATTCGCCGAATGAATGCCGATAAACACAATGTTAATCGTTTTGACACGCGAGCAGTAAGAAACACTGTACTCCGATTTCATAGAAAGTTATAAATGTGTTAGTGTGCCACTAAAATGTATTGTTGGAGGTAATTTGAACCTTGGTGTACCACGTTTCGTAGCTGATTTCGAAGCACAAACTGACAGCGTTTGCCAAACTCACGTTCGAATGGTTTTAGAATATTTTCCGGGCAATGAATTCCTACTTGTTTTTGCATTTACAAAGTACTCTTTGATGGAAAATCCATATCAAATTTAACAATGATCAAAATATCCTTTCAAATAATTTATTTTCAACAATATGTTGCCAATGTTAGTCAACAGCTCGTGAACGTGCACGATTCTTACGTGATACGGTACATTTTGACATAAGAAATTAAGTGTTATTCTTATTCAAGCTAAATCTCACTCTTAATGAGAATTAATTGAATAGTCATTTGTATAGTTAACACACGGGTTTATTATTCTTAACTAAATATGGGGCTGAAAAAAGATTTCATTCTACTAACCAAACCTTATTATTGGGTTAACATACTTTTGAGTTTATCATATTTATTGGCGAAAAAAACTCCTGGCGTTTGTGCATATTTATTCACTCCCAAGGAATCGGAATGTGAATTGGATAGTCGGGAGACAGAAATTTTATTTTTTTTGGCAATCGTAGTAATGATCCGAACGAGAAAAGCAGGAAGTGTTACAATGATCAATTATTTGACATCATCATTCATTTATACAAAAATCGCGAATCTTCTTTTGTGGGCATATGCTGACTATTTGTACGGTGTGGTGTTTGGTGTGATTTTTACCATAACTGCGTTAGTTTTGCCGGAACCAACCTACTCGGGACCAGAAAATGTCACCTATTTTCGAAGTGAATTTGCACTCGATGATGAGCTCGAAAATGATAGAAAAGTCGCTTGGATTGTAGCATTTTATACGGTCTGGAATCCAGCTTGTGTTAATTTTGCGCCGATTTTCTCCGAACTATCTGCTGAATATTGTTTGGAAAATTTGCGATTTGGCAAAGTAGACGTTGGCCGATTCCCTGGCACTGAGAAAAAGTACCATGTGTCTGACAGCTCACTCAGTCGACAATTGCCCACAATTATCCTATTCAGAAACGGGAAAGAGGTTTTACGGAGACCTGGTGCAGACAGCAAAGGAAAACTGCAAACATTTTTTTTCTCCAAAGACAATATTAAAGCCGCATTCAACTTGAACACATTATACAAAGAGTGCAAGGAAAATGGTGTCAGCAGCAGCGAAAGCAGCAAAGATAAATAATTTCAAAGCGAAAATGAATATTACCTAATTTATTTTATTGTACTCCTATCGTGTGTGTTAATAGTTTAGTCATTTGTTCTTCTCATCGTATCGCTTGAAAGAACCGCAATTATTCAGTCTATGTCACTTTTATGTATTCTCATGAGTTGATGCATATGGAAAATAAACATACATAAATCAGAATATTTGCTGTTTTTCTTTTATATGCATCATTGAATGTGATGACGAAAATTCAATATCATTTTTTTCGGAGGACGAACCATTCAAGCCATTCAATTAGCTGAGAAGAGTGTGAAAATAGTGACATCTATCTGTGAAGTCCTAATTTCGAAATTTGGTAAAAGATTCGTATTACGTATTTCGAAATGGTGGCGACCTATAGAGAATTGACAGCGTAACGCATTCATTTCAAACTTCCGTCACTATTATAGTTCTTTTCTCCCTCAGCATCATGGCCGATCAGGTACGTATATTTGTGCACAGTGCCGAAAAAAGAAAAATTCAACATAAAAATGAGTTTTAGTCGCGTGAAATCTAAATCTATTTTGTGGAATAAACATAACATATGATCAAATCAAATGAAAAAACAAATCATCAGAAGTTAAATATTTTTTTAAGAGTTTTAGCAAAAACTTTTGTTGAGTTCCACGTGTTTACACTAAACCAAAACTCATTTAAATTTATATTGTACATATTGTACGAATTAAATGTATGCCATGTGAAATGTGAAATATAGAATTACAAAGTGATGAAAATATCATGACGGTCTTCCTAATACATAAGTGAGGATAGAAATGATTTATGTTTAAAAAAAAACATTTTCTGAATGTACATCTGTATTCCATGTGAAAACATAACCTATTCAACGAATCACCATGCATACATAGCAATATTTATGGAAAAAATTAACATTGAAGAATTTTGAAGCTGTCGCTCCTAAAAACCAATCGATTTGATGTGTCTGTTTTGGGTGAAATAATACATTTTTCATCTAATCTTTCTTATAGACCGAACGTGCTTTCCAAAAGCAACTTACAATTCCAGTTGTGCGACGTAAGAACGGGACAACGGGACAACGTAAACTGCGCACTCGTCATTACCGAGAAGTTGGTTTGGGCTTCAAAACACCAAAAGATGTAAGTATTCAACATTTGAAATGCATATTGCTTCACTTTCGCCAAAAAAAATCCACTAATTTCATTTGTACATGTTTGTTGATAGGCGATTGATGGTACATACATCGATAATAAATGCCCATTCACTGGAAATGTGCGCATCCGTGGTCGCATTTTGAACGGAATTGTTCAAAAATTGAAAATGCAACGTACCATCGTTATTCGTCGTGACTATTTGCACTATGTGCGCAAATACAGCCGTTTCGAAAAACGTCATAAGAACATGTCGGTCCATTTGTCACCCGCATTCAGGTTCGTATAAAAATACATTTAACACACAATATTATATTAATACTTAAATGATGTTTTCATAATCACGACAGTCTTCAGATAACAGAAATGCTGAAAACCGAATAAATAATTCATATCTGATAACCCTTCAATTACTATTGTGATTGTTCTCTAAATTTTGCTCAAAGCTCGAGAATTAAATTGTTTACATTTTGTACTTTACAGAGATGTTGAGATCGGGGACATCGTGACAGTTGGCGAATGCCGACCAATTTCCAAAACAGTGCGTTTCAACGTTCTCAAAGTTACAAAGGGCGCCGGATCGAAGAAGAGTTTCAAGAAATTCTAGGCTAAACCAATCAGCCCATAATGTATCCAGCGATTTAAAGAATAAATCAAATCAATTGATTACACAATATAGATATATGTCTTTTCATTCATTCCAACATAAAACCAAACATTCTAGATCTTTATTCCAAATTTCATAAAACAGTTCAATGTCAGTATGAATTTGGCAACTGTCGGCTCTGTATTTGTAAGTCTAAACTGACGTGATAGGCGGCGACACCGGTTTTGTGATCTTGACATTGACAGTTCGAAATGAAAACAAATAAACTCACAACGTGAAAATGGGATTTGATCAATCTGAAGTGGAAAAACTTGGCGAGGAAAAAATTGATACCGGAAAGAAATTAATTGAACGATTAAATTTGTTGACTCATATTCAAGGTGTTGGAAAGGTTCAGAAAAAGATCTCGGCTGAGATTTCAACATTAAAAAATGTTAGACAAAGATTCATTTTGAAAGACTCTCCAATTTAGTTCATTAAATTCATCGTTACATTTTGTTTTAAAGGCAATTATATCAAAACGACTGAAGATAAACCACATTGCATGCAGTAACTTAGTGCATTTTTCTTACCTGGTGAAAGTTCTAGAAGAAACGAATGACGTAGTAGGGGTTGATTTTCCAATTAAACTGCGCGGAAGTCAAAAATCCACCATTCGAATCGATATTGTTGCAAATAATGGAAAAACATGGATCAAAGTAATAGCCAGAAATCCAAAAGCTTTGAATGACATCGCTCTGGGACGTTCCAACTACGGTGCAAAGAGTATTTTGGATCATGCAAGTTGTTATATTGAGGCGGCAAAAGATAACCTTCAATGTTTTCAAACTCCAAAGGTGGATTTTATCATTACAGCTTTTGTAATATCGATTAATACGATCTAATTGAAAATCGCTTAGGTCGTTTTTGATTTTGCTAATCCAATTGACAATGAGTTGGCAAACTCACTGGAAGAGCTTCACATTGATGTTCGTATCGATGGGACGAACAAATCAAGTGGCGAAATGAATGAACCAATTGGAGTGAATTCTAAACTGAATTTAGATGTAACTACGATGATGGCCTTTGTTTCTGCATTGACGTGTGAATCATGCGATTGGGAATTCACGCAGAAAATTTTATCTGAACAAGCTCATCGCGAGCGTTCGACTTCAACAAAAACATTTTTGGATGAATTGTTTCAAGGTAAAACACATCATTCCTCTTTTAGGCGATTGAATATTTTGTTTGAAAATTTATCGCAATAATCATAGGTAAGGAGCTGATAGCATGTGAAACAGCCAAAGACAGTTTTTTAAGCATTTTAAATGTTGTCGGCGGGCCAAATGAGAAAATTCGAGCATCGAAACTACTAAATTCAGTTACGTTTCTACCTGATATAAATGAAATTGAAGAAAATTCTTTATGGAGTGGAAATGTAAAATTGCGATTGGGAAAGAAAATACAACATCGTACATACAAGGTGTTTACATTTGGAATGTACCACAAAGCAATCACAGTTACCGCAAATAAGGGCGCAGCCGAAGCGGCAAAAATGCAGGTAAATTGATTACGAATATTTGTCAGTTTTGTAGAAATTGCTATTGCAATGACTGAAATGCAATCTATTGTGAATAGGGGATCAGCGTTCCGGTGGTTATACATGAAGCAAGGGCCTTAACAGAACAAAAACAATCAACAGCCAAAAATTTTTAACTTTCTGAATGCAAAGAAATATCCCTATTCATCAATTACTACAAAAGGTGGAGCTGCCCATGGGAACGCAACAAACAGACCATTTTATGTAAACAAACTTTCTTTCCACATCAAAGATTGTTTATAATTATTATAATAATAAAGAATTTCGAAGAAGAATTACTTTTTGAAGTGAAAACATGACGAAAGGTACGAAAGCCGTACTGAGGCTTGGAATGCAATGAATATTATTGCATGAATTATTCCTTTGTTTGCATCGTATTTTTTGCGGTGATTTTTTTTCTCGAGGAAGCATGGTCACTTCACACTATTCACAGCTGTATTGCAGTCAACGATGAGTGGTGTTTCTGTGTGTTCATTTAGTGGTTTTTGTTCCAATTTTATCATATATACCAAGCAAGCCGCATTTAGATAATCGACAATACATGCACAACATGTATGAACGCGAACTCATTATTATTGTAGAGCGCAAATAATCGCGGATCAAAATAACTGAATAATGAAACAAAAATCGAGAGCCGAACAGATCGACACATCAGTATGTAATCGGTGCCAGTTCGTTTCACACATGTTTCAAATATAACTGAAGTCTACAATTATACGTTGCCCAGAATAGTGAGTTTAGTGAATCTAAATATAGCCCGAGAAATTGCTTCAATTCTAGATATTCATTATAATGAATAATTATTAGCATACATATTTTTTCTATTGAGGCTTCGAGAAAACAAAGTTCGAAAATTGAGCATAGACCAAAATTCTAACGCTTTTACATAATTCTGACAATTCTTTTACAAATAATTCTTTTTTTCCCGAAAAACTCAACGCATCGAAACATAAGTTTCAAACAACTTGCAATAAGGAAAGTTCTGCATGTGGTATTGCTCATATATTGAACATAAAAAGTAGCTATCATGACGGAAAGCAAAAAAACAGTTGTGGTGACTTACGACTCAGCACGTGAAGTTTCAAAAAAGTTCGATTTCTGGCGAGGAATATATAACAAAGACAAAAATTATATTCTTGGGCGAACACCAAAAAATTGGGGTAAATTTCACATGATATTATATAATATGAAGAGTGTGCTCAGTATCCAAAAACTGGATAAGTTCAGTCAAAAATTTCATTTCAGTTTTTTGCGATTTTTGTCGAGATATATTTCGAAAAATATGTATGTGTAATGTGCATTGTAAATATACACACAGTGCGCCCCCGCAAATTAGAAACCCGAGAATTAGAAAACCTCAGAAATTAGAAATGAATTTCAGGTTTGAAAATTTGTATGGAAAATTTCTAATTCCCGGGGTTCATTTCTAATTTACGGGGTTTCCGAATCATTTCATTCAAGACAAAGGGAAATTTACTTCATTTTTAATGAAAAAACGTAATGACATATTGTCTGCGTCAATCATCAATCATCAATCATTAACAAATCGAAACCGATTTGTTCCATCAGAGAATTTGCATATACAAAATTGTATATAGAATGCTAACGTTTTGATATAATAAGAACAGCCGGTCATCATTTATTTCGGTTTGTTCCGAGGAGTAGTTTATCCAGTAAAATAAACTAACAGACTTACTATATATTTATAATCACTAAAATAACTGCTTACATACAATACTTGATTGAACAGTGTTCAATATATTGTTTTCAATTAAGCGAATCATTCCCCCTATCAATTTTTCATTTGATACACCGTTTTTGGATGAAATTGAAAAAACCTCAGAAATTAGAAAACTCCACAAATCGGAAATGGTCTCGGGACATTTCATTTCTTATTTGCGGGGGCGTACTGTATATATATATATATATATGTTCTGTATTATTATCACGTTTTTTGCTAAAACACCTTTTTCATTGCACCAAAGTAGTTTTGAAGAGTCGTTACATTTTCTAAGATAATAAATGCTAATACGAATGCAAATGTACTGGAAACATCGGCGAATCGATAGAAGACATACTTTAGTCAAAAAAGTTTTGTTCGGAATGTTAATTTCTAAAGTTAATAAATTAAAAGCTTGTTAGAAGTGTGATTCCATTTCATAATTGGATCGACTGATGTCAGTCAAGCCACTAATTGTAGTCATAATACACACAATCATTGTATACGGTTTAGCCTCGTGAGTTCGGAAAATCAAATATCTCTCAAATTTAACAAATTAAAATGTATTTATTTTCAAGTTTTGCGAAAATCTAATGATATCAATATGTTTCCATTTCCGGGATTTTCGTTATTGTTGTAATAACTAAGCGCCGTCAATTCAGACTTTATGAATATCGAATATTTTGAAAAATCACACTTATTGTTACTTTCATTGATATTGAATATAATAAATGTATCAATGTGGTCTAGGGTTAATTATTCAAGTAAATTTAAAAACACCTCACCAAAATGGCAGGTAAGTTACATGAATGGAACGAAGAAAATAAGCCCTGTACTCAAGAAATGGATAATATGTCTGCTCTTTGATGCAGAATACTAACGAAACACCCTAAATTGTATACAATCAAAAGACCAGGTTTTTTAGTCATTTTACTGCAAAAATCAGAAGTATTCAGCCAGTATTTGGCAGTGTAAATAAAAAACTAATTGAATTTTAAGTTTGATTTAAACATGAAATGTATGATTCCACTTCTATTTAAATATTTCGGAAGCAGGGCCGTAGCCAGGATTTTTCCCAGGAAAGTGTGGTTCCACTTTACCAAGTGATAGCTTGCCCCAAAAAAACAACTATTTCGAAAAAAAATCTGGGCTGGCTCTTGGAAGTTTACGGAGTTATGGGGCAAAAAGGCCAAAAATCACGAAAAATCAAAGTGGTCCGATTTCGATGAAAATTGGTACACGGGATAAGTGAGAAAATAGAAGAACTTTGGCACTAAAACTGGTCCAAAAAACTGGTCCGAACTGGTCCAAAATGTCAATATAAATTTTTGTAAACTTCCAAGAGCCAGCCCAGATTTTTTTTCGAAATAGTTGTTTTTTTGGGGAAAGCTATCACTTGGTAAAGTGGAACCACACTTTCCTGGGAAAAATCCTGGCTACGGCCCAGTTCGGAAGAAGAATAAAATCGAATAATATGACATTTTAATTAATATTTACTCAAAAGATTTAACAATAGAAATTTTACTGTTCTAAATTCGCATAATATGAGACTCATAAATTCAAGTTTTTAACTTAAAACGATTTTTTATATTTTAAAACGTCTAGTTCTGAACTAGCACTTTTTATTAACCCTCTAATGCATTAATTTTTCCCAGGGCTGGGAGTACTGGTACTTGGTTGATTTTTGACCATAGATGATTAAAAAAATATTCATAATCCTGGATTCCTCATGGTTTAGTCAGGAAATGAGATTGACATAAATCAGAGAACAATCAAATCCATTGTTTAAAAGTGTCAAAAATGTGTCCAATTTGGAGTTCGAATAATTTATTTTCTCAAATTTTTGTTTTTGTACACATTTTTGTTTATAGCTTTACAATCACACTACATAGACAAATATTGCCAAAGACAAAAATGAAGAGAGAATTGAAGAATTGACAAATAAAAATTCCCTTTGAAGCAATGTGAGCCGATGTACGGTTTACGTTCTACAGGCGTTCAAGTGTTGCCCGTCTAGAGGCGGTTGTATGCATTAGGGGGTTAAATCGAATGAATCAGGAGCAAAAAGTTTTGAGTCGTGTATTTATTTTATTTACAAACACATTTTTGAACAAGAACGTGATCAGTTTTGTAATCTGTACAATTTATCAATTAAACAATCTTTTTTTTTCGACATACAGGTGAAATCTTCATTTTCTATTCAATATTTTATATTATTCTGGCTGCGTTATTCGCAATATGTATGCAAGTTTTACTTTGGACTTTGGACGACAAAGTTCCCAAATGGACACTAGGGGAATCTCGAATTGGTGACAGCCCAGGCCTTGGATTTCGACCAATGCCGATGAACTTATCGCAAGGCTCTTTACTTTGGTTAAATAATAAAAATACCACAACGATCAAGAGTTATGTCGACATTATCAATTCGTTTTTATTGCGTAAGTATCATTGAAAAAAATATACATATTTTGTGTAATACATACATGGAATTCATGTGTACTGAGTAAACAAAATGTTTCCATTACATTGTTTATTAGCTTATGAAAATGCAACTCTTCAACCACACATAAACTCCGTTAACTGCGATTTTGATAACTTACCCGCTGATGAAAAAGTTTGCAGAATAAATCTTAGCCATTTTGGGAAATGTACTGCTTCAAATTCGTATGGATACGATAGTTTAAAGCCTTGTATTTTCCTCAAATTGAACAAAGTGAGTTTGTCTTGAAAATATTTCTTCTTCAAGATTAAAACATTTTTTTTCTCTTCAGATTTTTAATTGGATACCAGAGCCATTCAATAAAGATTCGGTTTTGCCAGAGAATATGCCTGAAGATTTGAAATTAAACATCAATTCGTTACCAGAAAAAGAAGTATTTTTTTTCAAAATTCAAAATTCCAGCTGTTCAAGCAATTTCATATTTTTCAATCATTTTTTACAGAGAAACCAAGTTTTTGTATCATGTGAAGGACAGAATCCGAATGATAAGGAAGCCATTGGAAAGATAACGATATCACCTAGAGGGTATTTGATTCATAATTTTTACATTAAGAATATCCCATTGAAAATTCTTTAATGATTTGAAAGAAAAAAAACAATTGTCCGGATTATACTTTGATTTAAAATGAATCCAAACCGAATTTGTGTAGCTAAATCGTGTGTTTCATATGGTGTTGTGTTGCTTCCAAACACAACACACACAATGAATTGCTTATTATTTTGATTTAATTGCTTATGATTTTTTTCGTAGGTTTCCACATTATTTTTATCCATACAAGAATAACGATGGCTATCTCAGTCCACTTATTTCCGTACAATTCGAGTCAGTCAAGAAGAATACAAATATTAATATTGAATGCATAGCTTGGGCCAAAAATATTATTTATCATGGTGGAGAACGAGATCGGCAGGGCTCCATTCACTTTGAATTGTTAATAGACTAACACAAATCTATTCGTGAGACGTAAAAGAACGTATGTTTTTTTGTCGATTTATATTTTTGAAAAGGAAAGTATATTTTCTGTTGATTCTATCTGCGTTAAAAGGAAGTATGTTGGCATCCCGTCTAGCCTCCGCGGTTTTTCACGGTTTCCGCGGAACTGATAAGAGATAACAACTTGGTGTCTTCGGCAAAGTTGTAGTACTCGAGGTCTTCTATAACAATTTTCGAAGACATCTATCTCTTATCTCTTATCGGTTGCGCGCAAATCGCGCACATAAAACAGCAAATTTTATATAGAACTTTTTTTTCTTATCATTTTTCGCGCTTTTCGCGGAACTGATAAGAGATAAGAGATAACTGACAGCAATGTTATAGAAGACCTCGAGTGCTACAACTTTGCCGAAGACACCAAGTTGTTATCTCTTATCAGTTCCGCGGAAACCGTGAAAGACCGCGAGGACCCGCTAAAAACCAACATACATTCTTTTAACCATTATTAGTTGCAATGAAACATACTTCTCTTTATTGCTACGAAGTTGGAGGACTTGCGTTCTTTTACGTCTCACTAATAGAAATATAAACGATGAATTGTTAGTCACTTTTTGGTCTATTTCACTTTTAATCTAAATGGTTTCATCTTCAGTACCTAAATTGATGAAACAATTAACAATAGCAAATTAATTTTAAGGTCCATTATGATGGAATAGAATATATGTATTGAACGAAAAACCGTTCGTACTTTATGAATTTAAAAAATGAAACAATGTTTTAACTCAATCAAAATTTTCCAAAATATATATTTTGAAACTAATATTGAAGGGCCTTTCTTCTGTAGTTTTCTTTTCCACGATGATAAAAATTGTAAAAAAATTGAATGAAATAATGTGATGCAACAATAAGATTTCATAGTATCAATAAAGATCCATATCCATATTCAAGCGAATTTCGACAAATTTTCAAAAACTCGAAGAAATCCACATGATAAACCACGTGTATTGTATGTACTAATGTATCGCTTCATAGAGCAAATTTGATTGCATTGTGTGCAAATTTTAACGATTAGACAAATATAATGTACAAACGGCGATACTAAAAAGATTTTAGAACTGAGGTGTACTTCATTTCTTTTGTCAACGATGTCACACACACTTTTATGTTTCAAACATAAGCTTAAGCTATGGGAGGTCTACAATTTGTCATGGAAATTCTGCAGAGTAAATGCATGAGTTAAAACACATCTCCTCCCTGATTTTATATTTATAAAAAACAAAAAAAGTAGCTAGAAACTATTTTTCCGCTTTTCCGCGAATGAGCCATTCCCGTTTTTTGAGGAATTGTCATAATTTCCGTTATTCACTGGGTTTACTGTGATTTTTGATTTTAAAAAAACGTATCTTCTTGTTCCTGAAGCAATACGAAACTATACAAATCATAAAAAATCGAATTGCTACCGGAGCAATGAAGAATAAAATGCTTTACATTCGATAGGTGAACTTTTTTACACGATTCATTTCAGTTCTACACTTTAGAATATATCAATTTTTTCCCAATACTGTTTTGTCTATACATTCTAACATAGCAATTTTTTCCGTATCCTTTTGCGAACAGCGTTACTGGTGTTACCACGCACATACCATACGTCATAAAAATAACGCTAGATTTCGCGTTTTTCGGAGTTCGAAAATCGAAAAAACGAAGTTTTATGGGGTAAAAAAATCTGGGCGATCCTAATACTTTTCTTACACGACATGGTCCTGTGGAAAGGTAATACATATATGCATCTAAACATCGATAAATCCTAGAAATAAAAACAATATATGTACAATTTTAGCATACCAACCCAATGAAACAATTTTGGTTTTAAATATTTTTGTGTGTCATCTGAGCTATATTGGCCATTTTAATCGACAACAAAAATTTTATGGTCATTTTTCCGATAGTCTTCAAAATGGCGAAAAAAATTTGTACCCGGTTGTGGGACACCTCATTTTTTTGCTTAAAATGTCAAAAATTGAAGTAAAATCATTAGAAATCAAGATTTTAAAAATAACGAATGTGTGTAGTTGAACCAAATATTACTTCTAGTAACTCTTCATAGTTTACTTTTGTAATATCATCGAATTACCACCCCAATTGCTAGGTCCAATTGCTATGCGGTACATCAAAGTCAAGTAAGGTTTCTCTAATTACTTTTTGTCTCGGTCATGAGAAGCTTTCATAGTAAACACAATGATTCTAGCAATGTTGAGATTTGACACTTAACTTCGTTTTAGTACCATTAAAGTTAAAACCATCGTGTTTGGTGTGTTGAAAGTCCGGACTGAAGTATTATAAGACTGTACTGGAAAAGTTGTCTTCTGTCCCTTTAACATGATGATTTGACAGTCACCAAAAGCATCAATAATTCCGACCACATACATTTATTCTAACACAAATCACCATATTTCATCACTGAGACCTCCAATTCATGCTTGTGGGTGTCCCACAACTGGGCACATGACTATCTCACAACCGGAATCAGACTCCATTTCCAAAAAAAATTCAATGCTCATATATAGAATTCCCGGCCCGGAATTTTGTGGAATTTGGCGGAATTTTGCAAAATTCCGCAAATTTTCAAATGTGAATATCTTTCAGAAAACATGAAATTGTCCATATAATTTCATTCATTCAAAATAAAAATGTGGCTCACATACACTAAAGCACACCAAACCATTTCATACAAATATAATGACTGTGCATTTGTCGATCGAGAAATAAACAATCAGATTAATCGATTCTCTTCTGTCCTTTTTTCGCTTAATTTAATTTTTGCATTATATAACTAACAGCGATAAACACACTTTTCTGCTAGTGTATGACACAATTCGTTTAAGACACAAATACATTGATAGAGCGTTCAATACAGTTAGCAAACGAAAGTGAAGAATGAGAACGAAAGAAATGAAGAGTAGAAATCAGTTGTTTGTTTTTATTCGAAGAGCAAAGTGTGTGCAACAGCCGATTTTGTTAGTCTTACAATAATTAAGTTAAAGATGTGGTGTGACGATCAGTCAGAGTTGACGTTAAATAGGATTCGTTCGATGGCGCTTGATTAAATTCAACACCAATCAAACTTGCACTGAATTTTTCAACGAAATCAAAAATGAACCGGCCATTCTTCGTGCAATAAAAGGCGGACAGAAATACAAGGAGAGTGATAATTCGGGAGACGAAAGACAACGCGAATGTTGTTGATTAGCTTAAATGCAAATTCTCATTTATTTGATATTGCTTTAATTTCATTCTGATATTTCACACTTTTCATAATATTTGATCAATTTTTTACTGTTCCTTTGCAATTTTCCTATGAACTCTCGAAATAAAACGATATTTAATAAATTCCGGAAATTTCCGTAAATTTTGAACCCGAACTCCGCAAATCTTTTTGAAATCCGTAGAAAATTCCGGATTTTTCGTAAAAACCCAATGGGAGGTCTACTCATATATTGATAAAAGCAACTTACTTATTTCCTTGAACTATGTATATCAATATTTTACTGGTCATTTTTTCATCAAAAATTGAAAAAATATTACTTGATAGGAGCTTTTTTTAATATAAACCAACGAAACATACAAACATCCGTCTGGCAATTGCGATTGCAACCACCTGCTTATCTTCACACTTTGAACAATTGTAGAGCGCCATCCATAATTGACGGCAAAATCATCTGTAAATAGCCGTAAGTGATTTCGACATATTGTGAAATGTTGCGAAATCACACCAATTAGTACTGAGTTTTGCCGTCATTTTTGGACGGCGCTCTACAATTTCACACTTCGTATTTTGTATGTATTCAATACAAGATTATATGCGTGTGATTGCAACCATAAATTTTTTACAAAATAAAAAAAAAAAAAAAAATAATATGTTGGACTCAAATTTAGAATATATTATTTTTCTCTAACTAACAACACTACTTCCACCTTTTTTGGTCGTATGTATGGCTACAGGGCATAACTTCCCCGGTCATAATTCCACCGAATTTCGGACAAAATTTCCCCAAAATCCAAAAAAATCTATGGGGAAATTATGTCCATTTTCAATTGGATATAATTCCACTGACTTCCAGAAATTATGTCCATATGCATTTGGATATAATTTCTTCTGATTTTTGGACATATTTTCTCTAATCAAAATTTTTTAGATGGGGAAGTTATGTCCAAATTTGAAATGGAATTATCATCTCCATTGGTACATGCATAAAACATTGGGACATCGGCACATTGAAGAAGAGATGGAGAATGAGAAATGTGACGATTAGCCCAGAATTCTTGGATTTTTGGGTCGGTTGGAGTAAACGCATGGGGAGAGACACCATTAGCTATTTTTTGAAGTTCATATAAATACTAGAGGAAAATAGCAAAAATAGCAAAAAATAGCAATATTATTGAAGAAATAGCGATTTGTTATTTACTGTTTTTAACCGTTTAAAACAAAGTTTTCGAGTTATTTTATGAAATTAAATGGAACAATTTGTTCTTTTCTATGAATTAACAAATAATAAATGCGATGATATTGAGCACTTTCACACTTCAGTCTGAAGTAACATGAGTGACAAGCAAGTCAATTTGTGCTAAAGTTTTGAGTTTTTTCAATCAATTTTATTTTTATTTCGTGTTCAAATAAAAAAAAATGGTTGAGCCAACAAAATTGCGCGTAATCGAATTAAGCCGAGAGTTATCGGACAGAAATTTAAAAATTGGTGGAAAAAAAAGTGGACTCATTTCTCGCCTCCAATTCGCGTTAGATAAAGAACGACGAGTGCAGCTCACTCAAGCAAGTGAGAGTGCCACAAATCACGATGAACGTGAAATGTGGCAGAAGAAGAAACAAACATTTTGAGCCAAATTTTTTTACATTCAATAATAACGCTTCAAGTGACGCTAATTTCATTATTTATGTACAATTATTCGATGAAAAATACGTGGGGAAATTATGTCCATTTTCAATTGGATATAATTCCACTGACTCTTTGGTCATAATTTCCCCGGGAAATTATGTCCATATGCATTTGGATATAATTTCTTCTGATTTTTGGACATATTTTCTCTAATCAAAATTTTTTAGATGGGGAATTTATGTCCAAATTTGAAATGGAATTATTTTCTCCGTCATTTCGGCCATAAATTCTCCATTCATTTTGTATGAGGGAAGTTATGACCGGGGAAAATATGACCGGTCACCGTATGTATGTGGATGTGTAATGTGTATGGTCTGTCTCTTTTGTCTTTTCCATTTGTTAACTCAAAATCATTATATGGATTATACAGCCATGTCTCTGTTACTCCATCCACATTAGCCTGGCCCAAAAAAAAAGTTGGCCACAAAAAAAGTGACGTCCAGTTTCGAAAAATATACCTCAAAAATATAGGTTTTGTCCAAAAAAACCATATGGGTCCCATATGAAAATTTTCATGACAACGATTTCGGAAGCCATTTTAGATCGCAACGTTTCGACCGATTCCATTATTCTAGCCAAATTTCGGTAAAAACTAATTCCATAGAAAAATGGGAGGTACCTTAAAAAGTCAATTTTGAGAGTTTTTGTCTGGAAAGACTCCCCATATTTTCGAGAAAAAATAACTTTGCGCCAAGACACCATCCCTGAAAAGCCTATACTTAAGGATTTTTTTGGTCAAAAGTCGATTTTTTGGAAGTTGAAATCGAATATGAGGCCAGAAATATGTGAAAACATCACTCGATTTGGTCATGTAAGTACCCAAAATATTCGAAAAGGACCATGCTAGATGTTGAAAGGCAGAAAAGGTAGAAATCATTTGCTTTTACCTGTCAAACCGAAGCTCATGTTTGTGATTTGCTCATTTTGGCCTGAAATTTGTCTTATATGTGTGAATCAATTGTCGCCAAATTCCATCAAAATCGCAATCTGACAAGTACCAAAATTTTTGTGCAGGTTTTGGCTACACGACACAAATCCAAAACTGAACAAAAGTCCACCACCTGGGTGGCCTGTAGAGCGAAAAATGCAAAAAATGCCGAAAAATTGCCATTTTTTCGGTCATTTTACACTGTAACTGGCCCAGAAGGCCTTTTCAAGGGCTGATGTCT